TTACATTTTGGGGTGCGAAGATCTGATAGTTGCCACCGACCATAAACCGTTGATCCAGGTTCTCAACGATCGGTCCCTAGCCGATATTAGCAATAGAAGACTACTGAACTTAAAAGAGAAGATGTTGCCATTTAAATTCACCATTGTACATGTAGCCGGCAAGAAGAATTTGGGACCTGATGCTGCCTCCAGACACCCCGTTGGAAAAGGTGACCTGATGCCACTGCCAGGTGAACCAGAGGAACTCAAAGATTTCTACAGCCGAAGCGAGCTCCGTCGCACAACCCTGTTAAGTCTCAGTCAACACACAGTTGATGACGACATGGCCAACGATACATCTCTCAGTTCTGCTGCAGCCGCAACCATCAACTCAGTGTCGCCAGTTATCACATGGGACATGGTACGAGAAGAGACTGCCTCTGATAGAGTATCCAGAATGCTTATTGAGCATATACAAGACGGATTCCCAGAGGACTGCAGAAGCGTGCCAGCAGAGGTCCGCCCATTCCAGAAATTTGCCAATAGCTTAAGCATAGTTGATGGTGTTATACTGATGGGACACAGAATCGTCATTCCTGCAGCACTGCGTGAGCCAATATTGGAAGCCCTCCACTCCGCTCACCAAGGAGTCAGCGCTATGCGTGCCAGAGCTGTTGATTCTGTCTATTGGCCTAATATATCAATTGACATATCGCGAATCCGAGACAGTTGTGGGCATTGTCATCGAATGGCAAAGTCCAACGCTATGCAACCCCCTGCAGACATAACTCCACCTGATTACCCATTCCAAAAGATTTGCAGTGACTATTTCACATATCGTGGTAAAGATTATGTGGTCATTGTCGACAGGTACTCTAACTGGCCGATGGTATTCCGATCCGAGTCCGGCGCCCATGGCTTAGTCAAGCGACTTAGGGAGTCATTTGTAACATTTGGCATACCAGAGGAAATGACGTCTGATGGAGGTCCTCAGTTCACTTCCGGGATAACACAAGAGTTTCTCAAGTCATGGGGAGTACGACATAGGATCACGTCAGTCGCAAACCCCCATGCAAATTGCAGGGCAGAGTTGGGAGTCAAAACAGTCAAGCGAATGTTGGCAGACAATGTTGGCCCATCGGGCTCTTTGGACGTTGACAAGTTTCAGCGCGCCATGCTGTTATATAGAAACTCCATTGACCCAGAGACCAGAGTATCCCCTGCCATAATCATATTTGGCCGACCTATACGTGACTTAATCCCAATTCCCCTCGGCAGATATTCACCCCATGAGACTTGGAGGGAGCTAATGGGTCATCGTGAAAAGGCCCTTGCCCGAAGGCATTGCAGGGAACATGAAAGATGGAAAGCTCACACGCGACTGTTGCCACCTCTTCAAGTTGGGGATCATGTCTACCTCCAGAACTTATTGGGTAACCACCCAAAGAAATGGGAACGAACCGGGACAATAGTTGAAGTGCGCCAATATCACCAGTATGTCGTCAAAATCGATGGGTCTGGGAGAGTAACAATCCGTAATCGACAGCATTTACGGAAATTCATCCCATTCAGGAAGTCACCCACAGGAGGAGTGGCAGTTGACCCAGCTTTGGTAGCCATGAGGCCTGTTGAATTTCATACGAGGCCGGATATTGGGACACCTAGGCTTGTCAATAGGCCTCCTACACAGAATTCAAAACCTATGGATGAAGTACAGATACGACAAAATGCCAGGACACCATTGGATAAGTCTGTTCCGGATGACCTTTCTGACACACCAAGGCGGATACCAAATCCCACAAGTTCAAGATCGTTGGATTTCACCCCTCAAGATTTTACAAACAAGGATAGATCAAAAGATAACTTACCAGGTCTTGGAAAGCCTAAGATTCCACGCGCCCTTGCAAGACTACAGCCATATAATAAGCCTGGTCTTAAAGAGATGTAAATAAGTAGTGGCTATGTTCCATGATATGCTTTTTGAGTGACAGACGCCACTGGGCTTTTCTAACTAACCGGCTTAACTATGGTGCAATATATCACCCAACATTCAGTTTTATATATACCCAATAAAACTTGCCCCCGGGGGAGGGAGATAACTAACCATCTTATATTATGTGTGTATATTGCAGGTACCATCATCCTTTTCCAAACCCCTCACATTATGGACATTTCAACTGGGGGGAGAAGAGTGTAATACTCAATTTCATTTATTACAATTTCTTTCATTCATTGTGCACATTTTAATGTTTCTTTATTGCCACTGTACTATTGTGTATCATTGAAATGCCATAATCTTGTATTGATCGGCGTATTGGAAAACGATTTCATCCTTTATAATAAATACCGTATTCTAGGAAAGTGAATTATCATTTATATATAATGTGATGTTTTTATTAATAAAATGCAAAAATAAAAATCTCGTGCTATTGACTAGGTCTTATTTTAAGGGGAGGGCTTATATTAAAATCATTTTTAAAATTCAGGCTAGGTCTTATATTCAGGGTAGGTCTTATTTGTCGGGGAAACACGGTAGTAGCCTAGTATACGGTAGTGATTTATTTAAATTTATTCTCAAATCATTATACTGTTATATGATCCACATTGGTGGAAATTTAATACAGTAATGGGAAACGGCGTCTAAATTTGTAGACTCTGAGATTGGTACTATTGAGGTGGCCAGTTTACGCTATTTCTCTCGTTTTCTCGTCGGTCGCAACGACCCCGATATGAGAGAGATCGTTGTCGTTTGTGAAATTGTTATTGACGGCGCAGTAGCCCTACTTTGACAAGCTCGAGAAAGAGAGAGAGATAGATTTATTCCGTCAACCAGAAAAAAAAAACAGTCATAACAATAAAAAAAAAATAGTGCTACAAAGTCCAGAAGTATGTACATCAAGAGGGCGCACAAACTGAACATAGTATGTGTACCACGTCAGGGTTCAGATTGTGCGCCATCTTGGTGCGCATACTCCAGGAGCGCCCAAAAACACCTTTTTCGAAATGGGCTGGAGGGAGCGATACGACCATGTGGTCATCGGACTCAGCTCCCTTCATGTTACCACTGTGAAGCTAGTAGCAAACCTTCTTCGAATTGTGCGCAGCGGTGCGTTAAGTCTCGTTTTTGTGCTCATTGAAGAGTGATATTACAGCTTTGTGCTTTTTGAAGGGTGATGGAGTAAAACGTAGGCGATTTCTAAATTCCACACGGCAGAATTGCTCTCGATTATGGAATTGCTCTCGATTATAGATATGGAAGAAACATCAAGACCAACCATCCGAGACCAACAATCGCCGTGAAAACGCACAATTGACGATTTTCACTGCCGATAGGTAAAATATGTGAATATGGCATTATGACTACTATTAGTAAACACGGAACTGACACAGTAAGATTTATTTAAGCCAGATCGAGATGCTATTTATCGTTCTGATACTGTGATACGGCATTCTATGTGATGTTAGGTGAAACCTACGGTAAGGTTCAAAGCCTTTATCAAAATATTCAGATTGCCTGCATGCTGCAATTCAGCAATTGGGCTACAAATTTCATAACAAACGGCAATTCAGCAATTGCAATGATTAACAAAAAAAAAATGTGAGAATGAGAGATGGGTTGAGTTGCATGTACGAATTAATACAATTAAAAAAAAATTATTTATTTAATTTTTATTTTAACAAATGGTATTTGTAGGATAGGATAGAATTTACATAGTCTATTTATCCCCGGGGAGAGAAAAGACAGCTCAATCATATGGCGAACCACGGCCTCTCGCCCTGTTACCAGTCCAGGTTGGGTATGGAATTACAGAATTAGTTCGCCAGTTATTTGTTTTCGGAAGCATGGACTTGATGGTGGAGGAAGCCGTGACCGACCAGCGGTTACGTGAACCACCCTACGGTGGCGAGGAGTCCAGCAATCCTCTCGCACATGATCATCCCCGCATTGTCTCTGAGAAAGAAAACAGCTTGGGCAAGTGATCAACTAATACACATTTTTAAACTTGGATACATAAACTATGCATTAAAAGTGAGGACTAAGCCCCACAAACCGACAAATAAAAAACAATTTTGGCAATTGAACTACTAATATAATACTCAAATATAAATTTGGACATTGAAAATTGTTTGAATCAGCAAGGAGTCAGCCTGGCAGGTAAAGAATTTCAGTAGATAAACAACATGGTACTCATATTACAGTATTATTGGAATCAGCCTTACAATACTGCAATAGGAAAGAATTTTGACAGAGGAGTGACTAAAATCCATATATAAATACAAATTTATATACTATTATATTTGAAGCAGCAACCTCGAATAACTGAATAAGAAACAATTTTGGTAAACGTAGTATTAATACAGTAATAGTCATATATCTGTATATAAATACAATTTAGGTTGCATAAATATTATTTGAAGCAGTGAGGGAGGACATGAGGGGTAAGACCTTTAAATAAGAGACAACTGTGGCATATGAAAAACTCATACTCATATATAAATTTGTATATGATGACTATTATTTGGAGCTGCAATGAGTTAGCCTGACAAATAAAAGGTTTTTGCAGATATACAAATAGTCCTCATATATAAATGGAAATTTGGATAAATAAACATTATTTGAAGCAGCAAGGGTCAGCCTCTCAAATAAACAGAAATTTTGCAAATACACAAATAGTATTGTGGCATGTAGAGTTTGTTATGCTTCGCCCACTGCTAATGGATGTATTTGTGGTACTAAACTATACCAGACATCAGACATAACATATGATATAGGCTACAATTATATATATATTTTTCGGTTCCATTACATTTGAACCCACGTACATTTGAACCCATGACAATTGCACCTGCATGCTATTGCACCTATGGAATTTTTTTTGTTTCACGGATAGTTAAACCCATACTAACCCTAACCCATGGGTTTTAGCACCCGCATATAGATTTCACCCGTGGATATACGCATGGGTTCAAATGTACATGGGTTCAAATGTACGGTCACCATATTTTTCATATATTTACAGATTTCCAAACTAATTTCCTTGCATAATTGTTTAAAATGGATGAGAAATTTTTAAGAAAAAAGTCATTTGCATTACCGAAAGTTAATCCATTTATTCATGACCTTCAATTATCAATGAAAGACAAACTGCAGGTAATAAAAACTTTGTATCTGATTTATGAAGAAATTAGAGTACAGAATCTTACTCTGACTTGGGCAGGAACAAATGTCGGGACATCTTGGAATCGGGCAACTGCGCCCTACTGCCATTACATAACTTTGTTCCATTTTTCAGATCTTGGTCATGTCTTTTACACTTGCACCGATTCGACTATTCCTGATATTTATTCTTCTAATTTTTGCATGGTTAATTGCATTCATATCTACGTTGGGTCTGGATATTGATTCTAAAAAACCAGTTCGATCATGGAGGAGGTGAGATTCGTTTGTTTATTCTTCAATTTGAATGCAGTTGAAATGCTTTTCTTGAAGTAATCTCAAAATTGAACTTGTCAACCTGATGTATGATTTTCAAACTAAATAGGTCTTATAAATAAATTAGGTCTCACAATGCTTTCTTCTATCGAAATCTATAAATATATACTAAAACTGTACACTTTATTTTTGACCCACAAAATGTTGGCCATTTCGTTTACAAAATAATTTATTCGATATATATTGAATTCGATATTTCAAACAAACAATATAGCCTACTTCAATACTATTCTTTATATATGTCTATGATGCAAATTGATTTGAATTTGCCATTCTTCACTTACGGTAATTGCTGCAAGCCTACTCAATATCTAACTATTCTGTTCTGCCTCTTTTTGTTAATGAGATGTTGTTGATTTCAAATGTTATACTGATAAAAGTAGCCCAGTATAGCCTTTGTACAGGTAGCATATTGAGATGTTCAGTAACATCTTGTTTCACAAGCTTAGAAAGCAAGTGGAATTCTAATAAATAGGAGATGAATTTTTCAAGTAAATTGTTTAATTTATTTTAATTTTATATTTAATGTTTATGTATTAGTCATTATGGGTATATTATCTCCGTCTTCTATTACCGTATATAACATCAATACTTTGTCTACATTTCAGTCAAATTTTAATACGAAAAAGTTGGCAACTTTGCGGGTATCTAATTAACGTTTTTGCACACAGGTTGCCTATATTACTGCTCCAGCCTATCATGCGAGCCGTATTCTTTTGTATGGGCGTAATATGGATTGAACAAAAAGGGTTACCTGCCTCTAGAAAAGAGGCCTTTATCTACGTGATCGCTCCCCATTCTACTTTTTATGATGCAGTACCATGCGCAATCATAGCTACTACTGTGGTCGCCAAACAAGACTTGATTTCAGCACCTTTTATAGGAAGTAAGATAGTTTTCTCATTAAAATGAGTATTGTTGTGGCAGAATCAGTAGTAGTGGGATTAGACTTAGTGATTCCACGCTTAGTAGATATTGCCGAAATATGTAAGACTGTAATTGTTATTGTGTGGTTATTTTTGTTATAATCATTTTGCATGTGCAATTAATAACTGTAATTGTTATATATGATATTGATTTCTACAGCTTTCGCAGCAGTACAATTTAAGTAGTGCATGTACACTAGCATGATTATTAGTTTTTTTTTACAATAATAATCTATATGCATGTGCTACAACTAAAAGTCATCACTCTTTGCTTGGTAGTGCGCTCTAACAATTAAAATAATTCTCAGTGCCTACCTCATTAGATTAAATCTCTCACTATTGATTGAGTTTCTATGGGATTACTTATGTTTCTACGCTTTTGTGCAGGCAGATCCTTGCAAGGATGCTGTAGCAAGAGTGAACTTGAAGATAAATATTGTAAGCGATTCAAGCGATTTGCTGCTTGCTGCACCAGTTGGTTGTTGAATAATATTTGTCTGAGGAAGTCTGACCTTAGTCAGTTGAAATGTTACAGAAATATATTTATGTTAGTGTGGAGCAAACCTATTGAATCACATAGTACTAATATATATGTTTCAGAAACATTATTTGTTACAAATTCTCAAGCACTAGTCTGTATTTAAATCTTGTTTTTTTATATCATTTTCCTGGTATATAAATACGAGGAACAATATTGTATTTATATATATACTGTATATACCAGTTTTCAGCTTTGCTGCAGTTGAACTAAATGGATATTCGAATATCCGTTACCACCTATACGGCACCGTTTTGCTTGGGCACAGAACTCGCGCATCGTTAAATCGATCACTTAATTTCTGCTATAATTTACCCACGGCTCTTTCTAACAGACAGAAAAATCAAATTTTAGGAGTTGTTTTCTTTGCAATATGGTGCTTTTTGTTTTCTTTCTGTGCCTATCATATCATTTCAATTTTTAATTTCATAAACACCCTAATGCCGGTGACAATAATGATAATATTCTTCACTTAAACTTGGATAGGTTGTTAATTTAAAAACCATGATATTGATGATCAAAGCTGATACAAAAGAGAAAAAAGACTAAAACTGATTTGGGTTCTAAACTCGCTTCTTAATACAGGTACTTGTTTTTAACATCTGTTAATGAATGTCTGTGGTAAAATTGTGGTATGCCCTATGGAATATAGATTACCAACATCTGCAAGTCACCGCGGCAGCGTGATTGTGGTGACAAAAACAGTTGCGAATATGACAATAATTTACCAATATAAATGCACATTGTTTCGACTTTTCAGTCTTTTAGTCATTCACAAAAAGGTACTCTTGTTACTGTAGTATGTGTATCAGGTTAGGGTTAGGTCATAATTTTATTTCGATTTCCCTTATTTTAGTTCCATTACGAGTTACTGTCTGCGTTAGCCAAGTGAATATACCCCCTGCCCATAGGCATAAGTTTCTTCACACTACTTCAGGGGTCGGCAACCTTTTGTCGCTCGCTGGTCAAAATTAAAGGTTGCAAACTTGCAAGTAATTAGCGGGCCGCACATATTTTTGGAAAGTTGAAAACCGAACGGATGATACATTTCATAATAAAAATCAAGCAGTGAGACATTTCTCAAATAGAATATGGATTTATACCCTCATTGCATCACAAAAAATTCCATTCGGATATTTTCGGCGCCATTGAACCCCTTGCACTTAGCATCAACTTTTCTGCGTTTTGTTGCTATTGGTGTAATTATAATTAAATTATAGGCTCATTAAACGAGTAATTGCGAAGTTTATACTCATACAATAAATTCTGTTACGTAAAGATTATAATCATCAGGACAGCTGTTTCGATAATATAATTCAGTGAAGCGTCGCGGGCCGCAGGTTGCCGACCCCTGCACTACTTGATGTAAAATAAGCGAACAAAATTAGTTATCTCCATATTGGTACACATACTTGTGGAGCGCCCACAAAAGAACGACCTCCGCCATGCTCCTGTTGTTTAAAAGGATTCGACTATAAGGTATTCGTAAAAAAATGTTAGAATTATTTGATTCGAAAAAATATTCTATTTTGTCCACTCCCATAATAAAGGCCTACCATTTATTGAGTAGAGTACACTGCTTAAATTGTAGCAAATTGAATTGAATTAAGTATCGCAATATATATTTATGAAAACATAAAATGATTATTAGTACAATAAATTCAAGCGAGGTAGGTAATACGTAGATTCACTCTCAATATGTTGAAAGATTTTGTATGATTTTCAGCATGTTAGGTAGTTAATTTAATAAAAAATGTCAAGAATCAAGACCAATGTCTTTTTTTCTTTTTAATCAATATTTACAGTACACAATAAAGCATCACTGTTAGTGTAATATAAGTCAGTTTACCAGAAACTTATTTCTTTTGAAAACTTGATTGAATAATTAACAATATCATATGTACCATGCCACGTTAGGTGTCATTGTTGGTGTTACAACAGCAACACTTGAAGTGATGATTTATTTTGTTGTCACCATTGATAGTCATCCTATTATTCATAATTCTGATGTATAATATGCATTGATGATAAATTGTGACAAGCAAATTACTGAATAATGACATAAATACATTGTCAAATTGTAAAATTAAGTAATCTGTTATTATCGATCATTTTACTCACACTTTCAAGTTCTCACTGTTATATGTCAACTCTGCCAAGCAGGTAGTTCAAAATTTTAACTTCGTCACCCGACTGCGGCGAGTATAAAAATATTAAATCATCACTGAATCGAATTTTTCAATTATACAAAGAATGTGGATTGGTATATGTATATTTTTAACAGTTAATAATTAGAATATAGGAAAATGTGGAAATGAAAATTTCGCAAGAACAAATTTAGGGTCACACAGTAGTAAAAAAAAAATTTCTTGATTTTTTGTCATCTGATTTTTTGTCATCAACCATATGACACCAATAGCAAAGGTGTTGCTGGTATATAGTATGCTATACAAACTATTACTATAATTGACGATCCGTCCAGTTTTGTTGATCAGGGACAGGCCGCTCAGATAGGCTTTCCTCACTTTCTTTACCTCCTTTTAGCAATTTGCAAATTAGCTGCAAAATGATTCGAATATTTTGCGATCAGATTGGATTTAAAATATTTTATTCGCTTGGCTTATGCAATCATTTTATGTCACGTCACTTGTTTATTCACATAGTTATTATTCTATGATTTGCTATTTTTGGGAGATTATTTCACGGCCTTCAGGACAAAAAAAACTCTTCAGATAGATGTCAATTCTGTTGTGGGCTAGGGCTTTTTGGTATATTATTTGCATAGGCTATGGAGTTTCATGATTTTAGGTGAAGTTTGCATTTGCTCATTGATATTTTGAATGAGATTTGTATATGGTAGACATAATGGACAGCTTGTGCAAAACAGAACATAAGTCATCTGATCTGACTAAAAAGTCGTATAGCAATATGAGGTCTTTCTCAGCCATTAAACTTAATGGGTTGATGTATTTTTCAGGACTGCTTTCGAGAAATTTCTGAGAAAAATTAGTTATTTGGGAATGGGCTTCCAACAGAATGTAGTTGGTAATTGGGAAAACAAAGTTTCGAGATTTTTTAGATAATATACTTTTGTTAAATTTGCAGGAATAGATTATTATGTGAACGACCTATTACGCGAATATATTCTTCGATGCGTTTACAGGTTTATATGGTCGGGACTTGTTTTGAATAATTTTGATTGTTGAGTTGATATCACAATTTGGATTTCATATATAAACTTTTTCCTAAGCGAATATAGTTTTTCAAAAGTTTTTTGTATTATATCATCATTGGTTGATTAATAACAATATTTAGTATTCATAACACAGTAATTGTTCATATTTCTGCATTAACTTGAAATGCACTCTTTCTTATTACTCAGATTCTTATTCCAATTGGTTACGATTTTTGGACGCATGCAGTTCTTCTGTATGGGATTCTTATGGGTCAATATCAAAGGTGAACGTGCATCTCACAAAGAAGCTAGAGTAATTGTTGCAGCTCCACATGCATCATTCTTCGATGCTCTACTCTGGTTTTGCACTCTACCTTTACCATCCTGCCTGTCTCGTGCAGAGAACAAGCAAGCTCCAATTATCGGAAGTATGTCTTGCATGAATATGAATGTATTTCATTTGTTTCAAAACCAATCGCATGAAACTATATGTTACAATACACAGTTTAGATAAAACAAATATGCAATAATGTTTAATCATTCATTGCTTCTGCTTTTATCTTGCTCTTTATTATGCAGTGCTGCCTTTGCTTGTCATATTGAATTTTGCACTAATTTTGTTTTGCATCCTTCCTGCTTGTGCACCATCTTTTATCGCTCGCTAACATGCATATTTGTTCATTAGTAGCATCTAATACTGTTTTTTTTTGTTGCAAAATATAGTTACAAAACTTTAACATTAAATACCTGTAGTTATGTACGCATTCGATAGATCTTTATCAATTAAATCTAAAATCCATCTTGTCATGTCAACAATGGATCGTATCAACAATGATATATCAAACGTTTCAAATTTATGAAACTGAAAAGTTTGGGTTTTAGAACTTAATAAGACTATGAATTGTGACTCTGTGGCAAGGTTGACTGTTGCGCTACCACTGTGAAGCACTTGCTCACAAACCTGGTAAAACAGTTAATTGTGAGATTTTATTTTAAATTCATTTTATTTTGTTTGATAATTACACAGAATTGAAAAATTGTTTTATGCTTTCTCTCAATCAAGGATTTATTTTGATGTTTATGCAGTAATATTTATGTTCATGTTTATACAGTGACAGTGCGGTAGTTGAACATGATTCGTTCGGGATCCGTGTTTGACTACTGATTTGTTTGAATACCGAAACTTTTTTCCATAAGAAACAATGGTATTTATTTTAAACAACAATAACTTTGATAAAGATAAGCAGGAACTTTTTCATTTTCTCAATTATTTAAGGCCTATGCCAACTAATTGCTGTCACTCCCTGCGTAACATTAGCTTTCTTTATTATTGTCTCATATTTCATAAACGTGGAATGGCAATAATTTCTTTTTTTTAAGTCGATAGTTATTCTCACCTCTTTTCTTTATCACTACTTTTCTTTGGAGCCATTTTCAACAGCAAAAAAGGCAAGAAAAAGCACTAAACACAAAAATTTCTCAACATGCGTTATCCTGCTAACATCAGTCTCCAACTGATGTATGTTGAATGGCCGAGGGCAGCCGAGATGGCGTGTTCTAACTCAGAAGTTTCGTTCGATATACCACATCATTTTTGACTCGAATTCGTTGGTCGACTATCGAATTGTTAGTGTCGAGTCGTTCGACTACAGAGTATATCACTGTATTTATATTGCGTTATACAAGATGCATTTGCACACGTCAGGTTATCAACTCATTTGTAATTGTTTTTGACAGCCTTGTTGAAAACATTGCAGCCGGTTCTTGTCGTTCGACATGATCCTGAATCAAGAAAAAAGACAATTCAAGAAATTCACCGCCGTGCGTCATCACAAAATGAGTGGCCACAGATTATTGTATTTCCAGAAGGGACTTGCACTAATGGAAAAGCACTAATTACCTTTAAAGCTGGTGAGATGAGATGAATATATAAAACTCAAATCTATTTGATTGTTATCAAACATGCAATTTTTATGGAAACAATTTTGAAGTAATTTCTTTCACAATAATGTTATCAATTAAATATTTTTTTTTCCTGTTACACTTATTTTACATTTTTATATTAATTTAAGGTGCTTTTATTCCTGGAGTTCCTGTGCAACCAGTATTGATACGGTACCCTAACTATTTGGTAAGAATGCTTTTCAGAACAAATATTAGAATTTTAACCTAGTTCTGTGACATTCCGCACTGAACACTGCTCCGCAGTCCGCATGCATGACTGGGTGATCATGTCCTGATTTTAATACCCTTTTTCCAGGCATGCAGTTATCCCTGTGATAATTGTGATAGGCCTAAGTAGTTTCAAATATTGTATTAATTGTAATATAGGCTATTTAACTTAATACATTTCTTTATTTATGGTAATGCTTTTCAGTTACAATGTAGCTACAAAAATGTTACCTGGACTGCATATTGTTGGCAACCGGTCTCAACCAGTTCAATCAAACTCACTTTCTTTGAAATATCTCTCAATATTATGTGTTTTTACCAAATTAAAACTTATTCGTAAGTAACAGGTTCCTTATTGCAGGATACTTTTACTTGGACAATGAATGGACCTGGAGGGTAAATTTTATTTTTTTATCCTTGATATATCAAAAGTTGTGCAAAGTGAAAAATGAAAATGCTGCACAATGCCTTTCAAATATATTTCTCTTGTAATAAATTCTATGATCTCTTTAATTTAATTTGTGTCTGCACGCTGCAATATATAATTTGTCTCTTGATGTAAAAATCTAGAATATATATTTATTGCCAACTCCTATGTCAATTTTCTCAATATTAATTTAATCAGGCAGAGATGTGATAATGGAAGAATCGTATACTAAAGTCTGTATTTTGTGAATATGAAAACTGATCAAATTCTGATTATGATATAAATCCTAGTCAAATTTTCTAATGACTGATCATTCAATTTAATTCTTTCAGAATTTTTCAACCACCCCTAGAAATATTAATCTGATTTGGCCAATCGTATCATAAATCCTTTGAAATTGATTTTTGATCTGATCCTTTCTTGTAATTAAATTATAATTTGCTTCTTTAGATTGACACTCTTATGGTATTCTTTGTGTCAGTTTTACATCCGATTCCAGGTTGAGGTATGGTATTATTGCAATTAGTTATTATTTTCAATCTTAGGTGTAACTCCAAATTGAATATAAAGTTATTATGATTTAATGCTGCATGATATCAAGGAGTTGCAACATTTTATGATCTATTAATTTTGAACAGCATTTTAGCGACATTTTTCAATCTTTTAAATTTTAACATTAGCAGAATTATTATTTTTTTTTATTTTCCCTCATTAGCTTACATGTGATAACTAGCTATAGAAGTTGCTGTTTTTCAATCAAGAGGGTGTTTCTGCCGCGAATGAATTAAATCAGTGTCAATTCATATAGCACTATTCATATAGCACTATACTTGCAAACTGTTGTATCGTTTTCTATTTCACCTCACTATTAGCACTATTCATTAAAACTTTTTAATGACTCCATCCCGTTTCCACTTGGTATTTATTGTTCTCTTCTCAGTTCCTTCCTGTATATACACCCTCAGATGAGGAAATAGACGATCCGAAGTTGTATGCTGAAAATGTCCGCTTTTTAATGGCTCAGTGAGTGTTCTTCCAGTCACATATTTGTACAATTACTCACAATAGAGTGTTAGAGACAGATACGGGCATTTATATTAATAATATAGGCGTACAGTATGTCTGACAATTATATTAATATAGGAGGTTTACAATTTTAAGGTCACGTTGTAATTCACATTGTATATGTATCCTTGCAAATACTGTATTTCTCCTTGCATAATGTGCACCCATAGATAATACGCATGTACATTTTAGCACATCTGTAGCGAGAAATCAATCTCCATGCATAATTCGCATATGGGGTTTTGTCCATCTCTTGCGTTATGAGTGTTTTTCGCGGAATCGTTTCAGGCATTTGTCTGCCTTCTGTAACTATATCTCCTAATTAATATGATTTTCATGTATTTATGGTGTAATGGTTCACCTACCAAGCCTCGCTTATCAATGATAACAGTTCTCCAACAATCAAGTTGCTAAAAAATTTTATTTGGATATTTGAACCTTGGGTGTCGCTGCTTGATAACCAGCTTTGGTTCCCCGCGGCTTCCCTTCCCCAGTAAAATAAGTATTCAATATTATTTATTCGTCTTAATTTTGCATGTTAACTTTTACTGGATGGAAAAAATAAACTTGACTATGACTAGGGTCAGCCAATCTTGATATGATGTTATTTAACATTAAAGTATCATGCTTTTATTTGTCTCTGATCTCTAAAACCTGATGAGGCCCGAATTTAGAGCTTGTTTTCAGACACCACACTGACCAGCCGGTCATTAATTATCGTGACATATAGTGATTTATGACCCTGAAGTGTTGCTGATTCGGCGGCGAAAGAAAGGCAAGACAATGACAGCAGTTAACGATGTACATCTGTTCTTTTAATTCACCGTTTTTCGGACGCTTGAGTTTTGAATTAATTGAGATTCCTGCTACTTTTACTAACCTAAATTTCGTTGAATTGGGCATGCTTCTACCCAAATAAGCATGATCTGACCCTAACAGATATTGGTAAATGAAATTAATACACTTTAACATTAATATATATGATAATTATTAGCTAGTTAGGGATGAAATAAGGTATAATATTTTTTTGATATTTTCTATGTCAATGCATAATACGCACCCCGTTATTCTGAACTTGAATTTTAGCCGTGAAAGTGCGTATTATACGCGGAGAAATACGGTAATTACAATGACAATCTGATTTTTTTCTTTCTATTTTATTTCCTTCTTTCTAAATCAATGAAATATGTTTGATTTCATTACAAGAATAATAAATGATTTTAGAAGTAATTAATTTTGATCAACTTATCTTTAAATTTCTTGAATATTTTTTTCTTAACAGGGCATTGAATGTACCTTGCACTGAACACACATTTGAAGATTGTCGTTTAATGTCCCAAGCAAAATCTAAAGATTTGCCAATGGAAGCTGGCCTTGTGGAATTTTCGAAGCTGAGCAAAAAATTAGGGTGATTTTCATATTCTTGAGTTTCAGTCATGATTCTTTGTTATAACATTTTGGACTGAAATGTTCTTTGTATGTTGCAGAAATGTTAACGCATGCATAACACCAATCTTCTATTAGATTTACTTGATTGTGCCTGAATTGAATTTAAATATTTCACCAGCCAGTTGTGCAAAGCAAGATAATAATCTTGTTTCGAATGCCCTTCTCATTGGTGCATTTGCATCTTTGATTGAATTACCATGTTGTTATTTTTATGAGAACAGAAAACCCTTGTTCGGAAATATATGTTGTAGGCATTTGGACGAGAATGGAAACAACGAATTGTGCTGAAATGTAGCCTAGTACTTGGCAACTCCAAGTATTGCAATCTATAATTAAACATGACACCGGTTGATGAGCACTGATGTAGACCTAGGCCTTTTCATTATCCTAAAGCCCCTAACAGTTATTCAAAAATTATCTATATTAAGAACAAGTAGCACTGGAATAATGATGGCTTTTAGAACTTAGCTTATGGAGCGACTTAACATCGTTATTATGATATAAACTCTAGGATTGATATAAATGAGATGAATGAAATGCTGGATGAGTTTGCGTTGAAATCAAGATCGTGTAAGGATGGTTTGATGGGAATTGAGGAATTTGCTGAACTTTTGTGTCTTCCAATTACTGAGCCTTTGAAAGAACTCTTCAATTTGTATGATAGGGTGAGTATGCAGCTCCAATTCCTTTTATTTAATTGCAGAATATCTTCCAGCACCAGTAGTAATGTGTTTTGCAATGTTATTCAACATCATCATGCATGTTACTTGTTGGAGAAAGTTGCGATTTAAAAACATTAATGCAATTTGATGTTTATTTCTTGCAGGATGGAAGTGGTAAGCTGGATTTTCGGGAATATGTAATCGGAATGTCACTACTTTCTCATGCTGCAGTTACAGAGAAGTCTATCAAAATAGCTTTCAAGGTTTGTCTGGTTTAATTTTGCATGGTTTAGAATTCAAACGCCTTACCTTTTTCTCAGTAAGTTTTAAGCAATCAATATCATGATTGTTATCGTACTTCCACTAATATATATGTAAATTTTGAATTTTTTATAATTAATTCTCAAATAAGGATTTATTTAAATGACAAATTACTCTTACAGGTTTTTGACAGAAATGGAGACGGTACGGTGACACATGATGAATTGGATCACGTACTTAAGTCTGTGTTTGGTCATGATTTTGAAACACGTAATATTTATGATAAAATTGATCAGGAGAACAAAGGAAGAATAACCTTCGGTAATTGATTATTCTGCAATTAAAATGTCAAAAAGTCAAATTATTGATCAACCATTTGTCGCTTCACTCAAATTTTATTCTTCCAGTTTTATGCAACTGTTGTCTAACACTGATCGGTGAATCAGGATAAATAACTCCACTTGAAAACAAAATTTAGCGCTCCAGAAGTGTGTGTACCAATATTGCTGTTACTCAGGCCTGCACAACATACGGCCCGCGGGCCGCATGCAGCCTGCTAGATACTTCTGTGCGGCCCGCGGGTGATTTGGAAACACGCCACTTCTCGGGTCTAACAATCAAAGCCGGCATTGTTATGCAAGCGCGCCGCTACTCCAATCATATTCGAAATTCTGAGTTTTATTTTTTGCACTAGTTTCAATAAATTTCGAACTTTGTGTGAAATTGGTGTGCCCTTCGCAACCCCTAAAATTTGTCGCTCGACCCTTCGCCCGACCCTTCGTTTGGGAAACCCTGATTCAGATATCTCGGTATTCAAGACTGAATCACGCTTAAAACAATATCGGTATACAATCTCACACTCATTAGTGCATATTAGCAACCTATTAATAACTCCATTATTTGTTACTAGCAGTTTATGAAACTGAAGTTTCTTTGTTGATTCAAACCTTTTTTTTCAATTTTTGACTCATTTGCGACCACGCATCTTTGTGAGCATGGATTTCCGGCACTGACTGTTATTAAAACTAAGGCTCGCCTCAATTTATGGTGACGACTTCAGTATTGCGCTCAGTAAAATTTTGCGATGTTTAGGTTCGGGTCACGAGTAATCAAATTTAAGAACCACTGTGACAGAGGTTGCTCTGCTTAGCTATAATGTAGAATAATTTTTCGAAATAATTTAATAATACACTACCATGTTATCGGGTTGAAATTCAAGTCACGGTGCGGTTTAATTACACGGTTATCATGTTTCAAATGGTTTGTCAAAACGATGGGGTTCCATCGTTGAATGGGCACAATTTTTCGGCAATATATATATCTGGCTTGATTCATTTCTCCTGGCGATAAAATGCAAGGGTGGCAATATTTGACGCTGCTCCGAAAAAGCGTTCAATCAAAGCAAGATTCTGCGAGATAGGCGATGTTTTATCAGCTGGTGCAAGTGCATACAAAGTTGTCGGGGAAAGCGCAATTGAATTATTACCCGATCGAAATTTTACCTTGCCAAAGTCTGAAAATCAGAGAGACGGTATTTTGCATAATTATGTAAGTCGCGAAATCACTTTCATAATTGTGATGCAATTATGTGATGTAATTTTCCAGCTCAACCCTAATTTAAAGTCATTATTTTGCTGACCGAACCGAACAAGATAATTTTTTTGGCATATTACTGTAAACGGTATCACTGCTATTACTTGAAGGACATACATGTATGATTTTTGCTTTCCTATATTTGAAACATTGATTCTTTTGTGGATAACGGCAAAATTGATATCACTACTATAAATTGGAAAAATCTTTTAATATCATAATATTTTCTCTTATAGTGCATGCTGATTCGATCATATTTCCCAAGCAATAAAATAATATTTTTATCTTTGATATTAGTATCCTCTCTAAATTGCCCAGATTTGAATTCAAATTCATTTCAAATGCCATTTTTATTTTTAAATTGTAGTCATTTCCCATAGATTTGCTGTCTTCGTTTCGGTAATTTGTAAATGAATATGCAATTATGAGACATTGGACTCAGTAATAGGAGCAGTATTAGCAGTACACCATGTTAAGCGTTATGTCGGTGTACATACAAAACTTTTTATGCTAAATATTTTATAATATTTCATACCTTTTACAGATGAATTTTACGCATTTGTCAAGAAACGCCCAGAATATGCAAAGTTATTCATGACATATGCAGACCTGGAACAGGATGATATGCCGCAAGATAAAATACATAATATTACTCAGAGACGAGCAAGTCATGCACTTGCTGGATCATCAATTTTATCAAATGTCCAATACAGTAATCAAGGAGCTAATGCAATTCTGAAAGAGAAAAAGGATGAATAGAGACTATATATTTGCTTGAAAACCATCATTAAAAATTTGATTTCCAAGAATAAATATTCATAAAACTGTGAGATGCGCAAAAAAATAGAATTTTTTTTTGTTTTTGAAATTGATAGATTTATTCAAAATAATTTTTTTTTATATTTATTTAAAATGCCCCTTGCATTCTTCTGCCTTGTAACAAAAATGTTTTTTTATAAAGTTATTGCAATGATTTCTTATTATTTTACCTGTGAAAACTTAGGAAAGGTTGTTTAATGAATAAGTTCGTTTGAAGTAATTCCCAAATTGAACCGAAGACGCATCAAATTAAATGCAATTTTGACTTCATTAGTATGACATCTTTCTTCAAAGCACCAGTGTCTCATGGCGATTTTGAATATATGTACGTTCATGTATAAATGTGGCATGTTTTTCTATAATTCAGAGTATTCTGTAATAGGCTTCTCACATTTTTGTCATATTTGTTGTTATATTCACATACGTTATTCTGTCACTGATAATGTGTATATTTATGGACTCATTCTGACTTTGCAGTTTTCATCTTTGAGCGTATATTCATCTGTAATAAGTAATTCAAGTTTTTAATTTTCATGTAAAAATAAATGTTCTTATCATTTTTTCGACTCATTTACGGCAAGATATGAAGCAGTTTCAGAAACTTCGTCAGAAAAACATCTTGGTGGTGGGTATCACGATTTTCACGGTATTGTCACTGATAAGATGGTAATTGTACTCTTTGAGCATGGATGCGATTTAAACATAGCTCGGGCTCCGCAGAGACACCTAGTATTAAGAAGGACTTTTTATGCTTTGTAAAAAAATCTTTTATTTAAAATTGAAGCCTTGAAACGTTTGTTGTTTCTACATTATCCGGAGGAGTTGGTTTTGAGGCGGACTTGAAGTTTCATTTAGAAAACTGACGCCTATTCAATATGTTCAACAAAATTTGTTCAATGACTTTTTAATTAAGAGAAAAAATGAAGATTGAGCAGGAATTTCGTAGATTGTACATTCTCTCCCGCTTTTCGATTTCTGCAACAGACTGGAACGAAATTGCATCTGAACTATTAATAATTATCACGATTAATATCACAAACAGAAGATGCAGCGATAACAGGATTGAATGAATTGCAATTGCCCCATTGAATATCTCCCATGGCGACGATAATTTCATGCATCATCGATTTCCTTTGGTAGACTTGGTAACTTCAAAACTTGGGATATGTGCCTTGAAGATAATCAACATGGGTGAGTTTTTTGTAAGTAATATCAGAATATAGCAATAAGATATTTTACAACAATGACTACCTGTATCCGATTAATTTCTCTAAAATTTAGGTAACTTTTGTTTGCTGTTCCAACGTTTACATTTACATCAATATCTGAATATCCATGTGATTCGCGCTGTCCAATGACTAAACCTGTAAGGTAAACAAACCTTTGCGGCCTAATTTGAACGTTAGTCTGGCTGGTTACAATGAAACATATGAGACAGTAAGGTGTACACTTTTATAGCAACAACCAGCCATTTATAGAGGGCAGCAACAATCAACTAAGTTATCATATTATACCAGCACTAACTTGTCCATTTCTGCATTTGTAATGAACAGCAATTAGTTGATAATGTGATGGGTTAATCCATACTGTCATATGATTATTGCCCACAGTCGAACTAGACATGGTTGACTTTCCTCTAGAGGAAAAAAATTAGCACCTAGGCGATTATTTTATTTCTTCAATTGGTAATGATTCATGGTGCAGTGCTCTGTTGATACGGTCCGAAAGTACGGGACCAGAAATTAATGTTGTCACATCCTTAAAACTCATACAGATTTAACTGTACAACCATAAATTAAAAAAATAAATTATTTACTTCAGCACATTCTCCAGAAATAGACTACGATCAGTTGAAGATGGTTGCTATGAATGTAACAACACATAATGAAGCTGAACATGATTTTTTCATGACAACATATCCGTCAATATTTATTCGACCTTCTAGAACTGAACCTGGAATTCCAAATCGACCAACCAAGAGTTTTCTACAGTCACATCCATATTATGGGTCAGTAAATTGAAAACTAAGAATAGTCTGTCTGTTTTGGGTCTCCCTAAAACATTTGTAGATTGTGAAACACTTGGTTGGTGATGAATTGTTGACATCATACAAATTCTGTTGCAATTTAAAGTCCTGATTTTAATTTTGTCATGAAGTCAGTTGTTTGTTTATTTTAATTATTTTATATTCAATTTCTCTTACTAAATTTATACATTTATTTGTTGCACAAAGTTCATCAAAGTTTTTCATTCAAATTCAATACAAGGCTCAATGAACATCCCATATGTTTCAGTCACTTATCATGTTAATGTGATTGATAAAAGTAATACGACAATAATTGTAATAAATGCTAAAACAGTAATTTTATTAATCTTTTGATTCTGTAACACTTATATATATTAAACTAATATTATTGCCACTTATAAAATTAAATTTATTTTTTTATTTTTATACGTTATTTTTCTATTGACAGACAGAAACCGAAGTCCAGGCATGGAGTAACAAGAGCAAGTTAGTTTTCATTTATTAATGTTATTGTTGATTAAAAATAATACCTGGTGTAATAATATAGTAATAAAATAATAGGTGTTAATTGCCCTCCAAATATAATTTTTAGAGATGAAAGGATTGAGAGCAGATTTAAATGATTGAAAGCAATCAAAGAGATACATACTTGACCTATGGCATTAGTATAATAACAATCGAAATATACATTTATAAACATTTTTCCCTGTAGTATTTACTTCGAACTAAATTTATGGATTTGTATTCGCATTATGTAATTTAAATCTAGAAACCTTAACCTGAATTATTTTGGACTCTTTGCTTCTTTATTAGGTTGTACTGTAGTAGTAGATATGACTGTATTTAAATCATAAATACAAATTCAAGTATCATTTGAAAAATTGAATATTGCATAGGCCTACATAAGGTTAAAATGTAGGTTTTGATATTGAACAAAAGCCAGTATGTGAAGCCTAATTTTGTTAATTAGTCTTATGTGATTCATGATTCATAGTCTTCTGTTTGAGTGTATGAAATGTGAATGTCAATCACCACTTCATTAAACTCCCTATTTCATTCATTAATTGGATATGTTAGGTTTTCAAAGTTGTGCCAGATTTAGATTTATCTTGTGTCAAAATTCTATTCCCCTCTTTATTGTTTTTGTGTTATTACAGAAATGGAAACTCAAACTGACCCTTTTGCGAAACAAGATGCAAGTGAAGATGCAAGAGCAAGTACTGCAAGTAGTACTTCAAAAGAATTGCTGCATCGCGAAGAACTGGTCACAGAATTACATCAAATAATATTAAAATTGTGAGTCTAGATCAGTGCTTGTCAACATCTTTGAAATTGTACACCCTTTTGCCCTTCACTCAAAGTCTTGTGCACACTATCCGGCGCTCCAGAAGGGTGTGTACCAATATGGAGGTAGCTAATTTTGTTCGCCAACACTACATCAAGTTGTGTGAAGGGAATGAAACTTATGGGCAGGGTGTATATTCACTTGGCTAACACAGACAGTCCCCGAACTTGTAATAGAACTAAAATAAGGAAAATCGAAATAAAATTATGGCCTAACCCTAACCTGGTACACACACTACGGGAGTACATACCATACCAGACACCGATTGATACATGCAGATATTAGTTACTACCGGCCATAGCTAGGGAGGGGGATCATTTGTACAAAACCCGGGCAAAATGACATCCCCATGACCCATCACCAATATCGCTTTAGTATAACACGCTTCCTCGTCCGAAAGAATATGATTGAAAGTAGTCCGCCCTCTTCCCTTTTAAGAGATTGGTTAACGTCATGTTTCTCCGGCCAGTTTTTCTTTGGGAAATAACGCAAGATCACCATGAAAGTACCGCTGTTTTTATAGATAGAGTGACCTACTTTCTATCGAAGATTTTTTTTCCGAAATATTACGCAAGATCACTTTGAAATCCCTTTCATGAGCTAGTTTGGCCTAATTTATATTATACTGTCTCAATTTTACTCAATTATACTGTAATTTTCAAATATGGACTTGCATTGGTTTGCGTGCCAGTTAGTTCAAATCGGATAGAAAACATCATATATTTGCAAATTTTTTAGAAATGCCGTGTACTTCCAGCATTTATAAATAACGCTCTCTCTCATGCTGCAGACCTAGTATGAAATATTCGCATCTCAACGCCACTTTCAATTACACTAATAGTAATGATGACACCAAAGAGTTTTCCTTTGCGAAGGTACAGGAAATACAACAGGGTGATTCTTGAAAAAAACATGAATGTGAAAAATAAACGAATGACATGATAGTGGTTCCCAAATAATTTTGAGTGTGACGCGAAATACCAATCCATTTGATAAATCTTTTCTAGTCGACCACGTGAAAGCCGAAATCCTGGAAATTAAAGTTGAAAGAGAAGTACGCATTCTCACATAAATAATCGCGATATATAATCGTTCAGGGGCTCCCGAAGTATGCGAACCAAGATGGCGGACATCGGAATGTAATATGTGTACTAGGTTAGGGTTAGGCCATAATTTTAGGTATAAATACTACGGGAGGCTCTTGGCTAGTCTTCGAACTGATAATAGGACTAAAATAAGGAGAATTGAAAAAAAAATTATCGCCTAACCCTAACTGTTACCATGTTACGTTCCGATGTCCGCCATCTTGTTCGCATACTTCGGGAGCACCAATCGTTCATGTGCACAATCTCACATGTAGCATCGGTTAGTTGTGCATTGAAATGTAAAACTCTTATGTGTGTGCGTTTCAATTTCAATAAAATCAAATTCGTTTTTCCATGCACCATTACTTGTAATTTTAATATTAATTGCGTTCCGAGGTTTGTAAAGTTTAGAAACCTCTTGTATATAACCATTACCACTATTTTGATTGGCTAAAGAAAGATAACACGTAACCGCTTTTCGGCAACATGGTATTCGTTTTATATCTGCTTTGAACAGAGAAAAAAACATGTGCAGTCATCTGATCACAATCAAAAATCCGTATTCATTTTTTTCGCGATTTCGGCAATCGTTATTATTAAGGGTTTTTGTCGACTGAAAAATAAACATCGTTCCTGTTAATAATATATTTCAGGCCATGTTCTTTATATCCTCCCATAATTGCCAATCTTTATTAAGCAACCCATGATTATAAAATAGCTTTGCTTATCATTTGCTGCTGAATCTTGTGCTATCGCTTATCAATTATAGCAGAGACGTAAGAAACATATTTAAAATTAGCGACGTTATCAGCGCCAACTAACAGAAAATAACTTATTATCATAAAACACAATTAAAATTCAGTCGGTAATAAATGGCGCTAAGGTGATGCCATACAGAACAAAAAGATTTGCGTCGCGAGAGTTTACCTTAGATGACTGTATAACGATGTTGTTTTATAAGCGGAAGGTAGAACAATCAAATTTAATAAAACAAAAACGGGGGTTACGACACCCGTAACACATCAAGTTCATTAGACATCTCTAAAGACTTCTAAGTTGGTTACTCGATTACACTATACTATCAATATTACACTTATTACACCTGTTTGAGTATTCCGGACAATTTCGAATTTGAAATAAACGAAAACTCAACATATCATAATTAATACACAAAAGTAAAATAAACATTCATCGAAAAAGTTATTATTTAAGAACAACAACATAATCGTATAATTCCGCCCAAACCCCGATGTTCGCAAGTGAGATGATAAATAAATACTTTCCGTGTATTCGATAAATCAACTTCTGCAAACAGTCTTGGTGCAAAATATTTCCATCCAGTGATATGCTTACAAATATTCTCTGCTTAATATCATAACCTCGCCTATAGGACTGGGCAAAATATTCGTATCGTTTCAATTCATACTTTGCGCCAAAAAAGGTACCAACAAAGCTTCCTAATTTTAGAAGAGTCAAATAAATAGACTTTTTCGAAATAAATATCCCAGATTTCAAACTCCGTAATTGGCAGCATGAATTAGCCGTTTCATGTAGGAGCCGCACATGCAATTGATTGTCGAAAATTAAAGTTAAATGTGACGTTCCGAGAGCCCACACATGTATAACATGTAAGGCTATAACCAGAAAAAATGACAAGTCATAATCCTTTTAATGTGCTTTCAATCAGCTCGTTAGTGATCCTTCCCATCCTTGCCAGTAAATGTTTCGAAATGTGAACCTTCCACTCAGCCATGCATGGCGGGTGGAGTGTTGAAATCGTGAACAAGAGTATAACGTAAAATCAATCGTGAATTTCGATGTAACAACGCACACATGTCTCCGTCATGAATTGCGCCTATTAACATCGGAAATGATTAAATTCGTTATATTTTGAGTATTTTTGCACCAATATTAGGCGTGATTATCAAAATGGTGAATTTGCAAATACCGTAAATAAAATTGTAACATTTTAGCTATAATTATCACCGGGCAGGGGCGCAGCCAGGATTTTTTCAACGGGAGATTAGGGGGAAGTTAAAACATTACACCAAAAACTGCAATTCGCGACGACGTAATGCGTTTATAACTAAAATGTAAGGTCCGTTCACGGCAAAATTTCGCAGTTACGTGTAAGCCCGCCTCTCTTTGCCCCAACTGTCCGAAGTCCTATTTTAAAACATAGACCATTTATCCGTAAGTCAGCGGGCATCCGCATCTAGAAATGAAACATAAAATCGCGAAAATTAAATTTGGAGAGATCTATAACTCGCAGATGTCAGTAGTGTCATCATGGTTTATATGTACAAAAACAAGCTCGCATGTAGCGACGATCAAAATCATGAAAATGTGAAACTATTACTTGAAAATTATTGTTAATGAAGTTAAATTTTTATTGCCATTTAATGATTATTTCATAATTTTGTCATAATCGAAGGCTGCAGTAAATTTTTTGTCGCCGCGATCGTGTTGTTAAACTATATTAAAGCATGTTTTTATTCACATATTAATTCTCACGTAACGGCGGGCATCGTAGTTTGGTTTTTATATTTCGGATAGAATTGTGAATTCACATCGGCGAAGATTTTAAAGACACTATTAATGAGCGCATTCACAACGAAAATTGATTTTGTTCTGATTTTATCTTCTGGTTAGGATTTGTATCAGTTCGTAAATTACGGTCCCGAGTTTAAGCGAACAATAATATTATTACTGACCCCGGGATGCGATATTTGTGAAGCAGATAGTTGACATTTCTATGCTTTTAATTTTAGAACGTGTCCGTGTTACTTTCGTATTAAATAATAATTGAAAAACTCTGCAAATTGGTTATCTCTTGAGTACTCAGTGTTAAGTATTTACGTAACTCAGCTTTGGGTTAAAACACTGATAGTAACTAAACACGTGAATAAATCGGCAATAATGGCATTTCGACATGGTCAAAATAATATTTCTCACCAATATCTCATGAAAGTTCCTTAAAATACATTATTTACTTGTCTTACTTATCGACGTTTCTAAATTTACAAAAACGATGTTGACACGCTTTATACAAAATCGTTTCAAATTTATTGTTTCTACATGGTAGCGATAGCCGTCTGGTTAATTCTTACCCGTAACTCGTTGTTAAGTAATGCTAATAAATTGTGTTTTGCTTTCCAATGCGCGGTTAACCGCGTTTAAATTCGTTTCATGGTGAGGAAGGAAAATACGTTTTCCGGAATTGCAATCAGCAATTACACATTTTTTATTTATCATTATCAGCGCCGAATAAAAAAGATAACATATCGTGAAGACGAAAAAAGTCGTTGAAACTTGAGTTGAATTAGTTGCAATTAGCGCCTGATTAGGCACCAGAGCACTCGAGCCCAATGTTTTTAGCATTAGTCGCATATGTAAAATATCCTTAAAGAAGTCCTGTTTATTAAAGTCATCTCGTCTTATGGCCACGCAGAAATGCCTTCATTGCCGAATTATTTAATCACAATTTTAAATCAACATTCAGGATTGGCACAATCTCAGATTTGCGAGGTTTATCTGTAAATTAATACAGACACCATAAAAAATTATAAAAGTTAATTATCGTCTTAAATATCTGCATTCCGGCATCGATAATAATAATACCATTCGCTTAAAATTGGGACAGTAAATTTACAAACGTTGATAGGTAATATCAAGTCAACGCAAATGTATATTTGGGTTTTGAAATTTGTCGTTAATGCCTTTAACAGCTGTGGCCGATGTGAACGCACGCGTAAGCCTGGATTGCCAAACCAAGGATATAGTCGCCAGAACGATTGCGGTGACAAAAACAATTAGTTATTATAACGAAATTAACCAGTGGAAAAGGCTTCCTTGCTAATTTTTCGACCGACGTTCTAGACTCCTGCTGTGCATAAAAAATATTCCTTATTGGTTAAAAATATTCAATTCGAAAAAATATTCGATTTTGCCCACCCCTACTCGCATATTAATGAGGAAATAGTTTAGATTGATTTTTGACCCTGGTCTGAGTTTGATTTATCGTGAATGACTAGACTAGCTAATACTGAATATCGCAAAATTCCGCGAAACGCCATTTGCTTTTAACATTCGTGGTTACAATAAAATGGCTGTTAAATGTTAATACGACGACGTATGTATTTTGTCAATTTGGCGATTTTGCAAATCTGTGAGATGCTGCTAAAAGTTTCTTCTAATTTAACAAACAATGGCCCAAGTTTACATTCCATTACGAAACAATGTCGTGTCGAGTATCAGAAATTTCTGAATGGCTCCAGTAAATTCACTAAGAAGAGAACACAGACCTGTCAAACCAGTCCTAGAAAATCGTGTACTTTGGTCACAATTCATCGATGTCATTGACAGCCACATGACCACTCTCGTTTAGAGAAACGCACTGCCTTGCATTCGGTCATCTGGTTTCGAAGACGCCGCCGAGCGTTTTCGCGGTGGAAGCGGAATCAGTGTGCTTTTATAATAATCACATTATAAACAAGAATTTTGCCATTAATGCAAAAGCTTTATCTTCCATGTCTTCACCACATAGGTTAGAATTCCGGTAAATATCGTTATGATATGCAGAATTGAGTTACAAAAGTACTAGTATGTTACTTATTTGTCAACTTAATACGCACACAAAAATATTTGTCAACTTTGAATTTTTATTCCATTCAAAATCGAAAAAAAGTGCTATTTCTCTTCAAAATCGGAAAAAAGTGCTATTTCGCAGTCCCTAAAAAAAGTTGCGAAAGTGCTTCGCAATTTTCGCAAAAAAGTGCGCTAATAGTGAACACTGCTATGAAGGCAGTTATTTATTCACAGACATACAATTTTTTTAAAAATATGTATACAAAAGTTAGTGTGTGGACCTGACATGGGCAAACTACGGCCCGCGGGCTAAATCCAGCCCGTTGGGTGATTCAATCTGGCCCCGCCTGTTGCTACCATAAATTTTTTGTATTTAACAATCTCTGTATGCCCTACATAATTGTGCATATTGAAACCTGTAGGGTGCAAATAGGCTTGTTAAATTATGATCGTAGTCTGTGTTAGTTGTATTTTAGGTTAACAATTGCCACAATTACATGGCCCGCCAGTCTAAGTGGGCAAACATTTTGGCCCCTGTTCCAAAAACTTTGCCCACCCCCAGTGTAGACCAACGATACGGAATAGGGAAAAACGAAATAATTAATCATAAGTGGGCCATTGTCAAGCATTGTTATGTTTTATGATTCTGGGATGAGAAGTTTAAATATTTAGTTATACCTCGTATCATATGCTATACTATATTAAAAATAGAATGTTCACAATAGTCTTGCACATCAACATTGATTCTTCAATTGTACACATCACCAACAATTAACAACTTTCTTTCGAATGCAACAGTGTGGCACATCGCGCCAAGCGTTAGGAATACGCTCGCCATCGCATCTCTAATTGCCCTGCGTGGGTTCGAAGGTCCGAATCCCATGCGGGGATAGGTATGTACAAGAGGATTGCTGGACTACTCGCCGTCGCAGGGTGGTTCACTTAACCGCTGGTCGGTTACAGCTTCCTCCGCCATCAAGTCCATGCTTCGGAAAACAAATAACTGGCTAACTAATCCCATACCCGACATGGAATGGTAACCGAACGAGATGGCCGTGGTTCGTCGTATGGTTAAGCCGTATTATCGGTTTTCCTCTCCCATGGGATAAATATGTGAATCACATCCTATCCTGTTTTAGTCTCAGCTCATGAAACGTTGCTCTTGGACTTGTTTCTTTGAAAAGTCGAAACATGATTTGTGTCTTGCAAACAACAGATAAAATTTTTCAATAGTAAATGAATTGGATAAAAACTGATTCAACAGCATCAAAACTGCGACTTGTTGACTTTTGCTATTGCTATGACAAAGTCCCAACTCTTGCTTCTTAAAGTCTAAATTAAAATTTGAAGAGAATTTATTGTAAAAAAAATCATGTCATCTTGGAAAAGTTTTTTTACTGAAATTTTAATATTCAGAATACTAATCTTCAAACAAATTTCCTTCAATGCAGTCATCAGTTTAATAGATTAGATTGAAATATATATTAAATTTCTGATGAGGAAATCTTTGACCTCAATTTATTTATATATACCTAAATATCCAATATAATATATACCGGTATATAATATAATATAATTTTCTTTCCTTTTTCAGTCCTTTTGAAAGAAGTCGTAAAGAGCACAAAAGAGTATTTGAGTTGTTTTTTGAGCTTGCTCCTGCAGAACTAATATCATGTATTGATAACAAAAATGAGAAAATTATATTACAGCAACTCGTACATGCCGCAACGCATGTAGTGTATCCAGATACTGGAATGACTGGTTTGTTGATAATGTTATTGTTAATTTTTTAATTACTTTACATAAAATTGTTCTATGCTTCCAGAAGACTGTACAGCAGGGACGGCAACCCACGGCCCACAGGTGGAGTAATCCGGCCTGAAATGCTTTGCTGAAATTTAGTGACAAACTGGTGGCTGCAAATTTTCACCATAGTTTAACATTACAAAAAACAAGCGCAAAACTAGGATTAAATGATTCCTATTTAGAAAATGTTTCAATCTTGGCTTCATGCAGTGTGTCACTCAACGTCCAGAAAGTATCAAGCGTAATGCAACAACAGGTGTCACATTAAATGTTATTTGTAAATTTTATGCCTAATAAAATGACTTGAATCCACGAGTCGTTGCTGTCTTTGCTCGTTATTTGAAGTACAAAATTTCAACTTCTGATCTGTGTAAAAATGTAATTCATCATCCACCTGTTCGGTTTTTAACTTTCTTAAAAAATATGTGCGGCCCATCAAGATTTGCAACCCTTATTTTTGGCCCACGAGCGACCTCTGCTATACATGGTCATTCAGTGAAAGAAATTTGGCACCATATTATATTCAAACATGAATAAGCCTGTCATTAAGCTAGAAAGCAATTAAAAATCATTTATATTTTACTTCATTTAATCTATAAAACTGTGTTTTGCAGTATTTGGGAATTCTGGTTTGTTCATGATATTAAAAGGCTCTGTAAGGCCACAAGCATTTCCATATCTCAATCTCAAAAATTTGTCTGATAAGGAGGAAAATATTTTATCTCGGACGCAAACTCCAATTCTAAAAAGAAGACACATCAAAGTAGGTTTTTTATGACTTGACTTGATTACTGCCTTGGCGAGGTATTTTTGAATGTATGGTTCCTATATAATCTCCGCAAAATCTAGGTAAAATTTGTTAAAATAAGGCGATTCTTATTTTTTCCATCATTTTTCCACAGCTTACTGCCAGCGACTGCTTTGGAACATTTGAAAAAGTGCCAGGAAAATCCGATAATTCAAAGTGAGATTTACTACTATTGTCACATAATTTTACATGTCTATATTCATATTATTAAAGTACCATTTCCCCATCGTAATTTAATATTTCCTTCTAGTAGTTCAGATTCAATATTGTGTTCGACCGTATACTTTGTGAATCACTCATCCATCATTTTTCATAAATTCAACTTTTTACTAATTCTAAGCTCACTTCCTTTTCATGTCACAGACAGGAAACTTTATACTTCATTCTATTTGCATGATATTTTCCCATGACATCCATCACGCAATGACAAATGCATGATATGACATGAACATTAGGGTCATGACATTTTGAGTAATTCTCTATCGTATTCGGGAGAAAAGTGATATATCAAATTACTGTTGAACACGAACAATGATCTGTTATGTTAAATGATTGTCTCACTCATCAGAGCATTACAAATGTGATGACTATTCCCATCAGAATCTCTTGAGAAACATAACGTTCAAAAATATATGTTTGTGATTTTTTGTATCGTTTGTAGATATTCTCATACTATAAGTTATTCTGATTTCTCAAAATTGTGACTTTTTATCTCACTTAATTGCAAAAAGTCTCAAGAAATAAAATATTTCAAATTGTTTATGCAGATAAATAAAGTATAGCGTTTATTTAATTTGAGAATATAACTTAATTCAATGTCAGATATGAACCGAAGCAAGTGAATACAATTCATACTAATTTGATATTTTACTATTTGTAACATCAATTGATTTTTTTGATGACATCCTAACACTGGCAGTCTTTCATGGTAGTACACATACCAGCATTATGGATAATTATTGATGATTGAAAGTTTCAATTGCTTCCTGTACTGACATAGTGTATTGTCCCGTTTTGACTTAGCAGTGCAATAAAAGCATTTGAATTGGCATAGTTGTGGATGGCAGTTTTCCAATTATTGCGGTCAAATGTGTTAGATTCCCAAGAGGAAGCGTGAATAGAAAAAGAAGCAAATGTTGGTATTGCCACATTGTTTTTGAGCAGCTGAATAAACCACATTATGCAAGATAATTGAATAGAGAACAACATTTGTCATGAGAGGATTGTCTAGACTTCTATGCTAAATTGAGGATGATGTTAAAGATCATTAGTTGAGTTGTTATCTGAGTTTTAGAAGAAGAAACTTATCTTGCAGAGATAAGAGTTTTAGATCCAGGGAGAATAATCATAAATATTCATAACTTATTATTATTGTTTATTTTATTTCAATTCAATTATTTTTGAATTCTAAATAATATAGTAACATCATGCCATGAATCTAGTTCATCATCATTATGATTTTGTTTAATTGTTGTTAAATTGTCATATTCAATTTTTTCTGGAAATACTTTTCAACTATGTTACATTTACATGCATTTAACTGTTATTTTGCTGCGGTGACATGTTTTTTTTATAATAAAGTGATTGTGACATCGATGTTATGAATTTGATAGGGATGTATGATTAAGCAAACGTTTTCTCTAGGAGTTTTGGTTATGAAAATCATGATAGGCGTCACCTATTGTATATGACCCTTGATATGGTTTTTATACAGCATCGAAATTGTAATTATAGTTTTCAATCGAAAGTGATGAGGTGTTGTCACGTATCATGGTTATCGAATATATCTTTTGTGAGATGACACTTATTGTTAAGTATTTGTCAGGATTTCATGTCGTGTTGTGTCGTCATGCATATCCATTGTATCGATAACCCAAATGATTGCAGCATATAACATGTGTACGAAGTTGCATGATTTTTAGTTTCATAGGAAGAGTAACACTGGTAACAACTATCAAATGTAGATTACGTGACGTCCTTAGTTCCGTAGAAAGGAAGTATTAATCAAGGTCAGGAAGAACCTACAAATGGTGTAGTTATTCTTAACTTAGGCAGTACAGATTTACATAGACAGCACAGATGTTCAGTCAAACTTTGTCGCATTATTGTAGAATTTGTCTTTGTTACGCAGGTTGTTATTAATGATAGAACTATAGTTTTTTTTTTATTTATAATGGAAAAGAAGGAAATTCATTGCAGTTACTGAGTTTTTGCATTACTAATTACCATGTATATTTAAAATCCCTTTTATAGAAATACTTTTGCATCGATCGTTAAATCAACTGCTAATAATTTCTCATACCATTTATTACACTTGGAAAAGTATGGCTTTTGTTGAAAAGGGTGACTTCTATATCATTATTGTATTTTATAATTCTACAAACTTTTAGTTGAATTGTTTCTTGTATTATATATACATTTAGAAATAAAACATGGATGGTGTTCACAATAATTTTTCACAAAATTCAAGCAACAGCAGTGAAACAGATCTTTGTATCAACCATGAATCATGGGGCACACCAATCGTACTTGTGGAAAGCTCATTTATAATATTTGGAAATTTATTTGTACTTCTTGTTTTGTCCAAGTATCCATCCAAAAAATTCAAACCCCTCAACTGCTTCATCGTTCAACTTGCACTGGCTGATTTGTGTGTTGGTGGGATTATTTTATGGATTGGATTTCTATCGGCAAAAGTATATTCCTATGTCAGTTTGACAAGCGGAATTGTAGTCTATGGCATTTTAGCTACTGCTACGTCAGTCTCTACCTTGAGTATACTATGCATAGCAATTGATCGCTACATCTATATACTTCGACATCAACGTTATAAGAAGATAATGACTAAAACTCTTGTCTCTGTTATGATTATTGTATCATGGCTTCTTCCGACATCTGTTTTTATCCTTGCACCTTTGGGGGGTTGGAGCTGCATCAAAAAATGTGACTGTGGAATTTATAATGGAAATGTTAACCAAGAATATTGTCTTGGAGATGAGTGCTCACAAATGATGACTCCTTTTAAAGCAGAGACTCTACTTGTTGGTGGCATCTGTCTTCTCGTACTTCTACTTGCATCCGTTATTATATATATTCTCCTACTTTCTAAGGTGAGTTTAATATTGTACTCAATTACCAGTATCACTCTGTATCTTGATATATTCTTTATGATGCATTCGAACCTTCTTTTTAAATAAAACTCGGTAAAACATGCATATTGTTATGCACCTGAAGTGTATACAAGTTTGTAATTTGTATTTGAAACCAAATTAATTTTAACAAGGTAAAATGACAGAACAATTTATTGTGTTTGTACTTTTCGTATAAACTTACCGTCATTCATAATTTGTAGGTGAGGACTAAAACACAAGCACCTGTGAAGCACAAGCGAAGAAAGGCATCGGAAATGAGAATGATAAAAACGATGGTCATCGTCTTAAGTGGATTTCTACTAACAACCGGTCCGTTGGCGTTTCTGTGCATTGTTTCTTATTTTAACAATGATCGTCAACTGCATATGATCATGCGAGTTATGGTTGTTATCTGTAACATAAACTCAATCATGAATCCATTTTTCTATTTTTGGAGGATTCCCCACATGAACAGAAATTTGAGCAAGTTATCAAATGCACTCTTAGGATGCTTTCGAAACAGCATCTTGTGTTGTGCAAAGAAAATATCAAATCGTCGTTTTTCTGCTGCAACTGATGCTAACTACACTGGTGCAAACACACAACGAACCGCTCAAACTAGTGAATCAGATAGTACAGGCTCAAAAATACATTATTTGAATAAAACAATCAAAATAAATCTTGAACATAGGAGACAATCGGGGATCCACACACCTTGGAGTTCATCTAATAATATTCTTTAATGAGTTTGGATATAGCTGCTTTTAAAAAGCAAAAAGAGAATCCTACTGTGGTGTAAAATTTTTGCTCCTTTCATAAATATTTTTTTAAACCATGTTGTAGTTCCATAAACAGTGAGAAAAACTATGAGAAATGAGAGAGTTCTGGGATACACATGTGAACTTTTGATTGTAGTTATACAAGCGACTTTTATCTATCCTTTGTATTTCATCTTAGCATATTTGAAAAAAATGTATTTTATATTAAAATTGGCATAAAAAACTGTATATTTAAGGTGTATATATATATATTATGTTTACCTTGCAATAGAATAATTTTTTCACATGAAAAATTTGTCATTGGATTCAAGGATAATTCAGATGAAAAGCCATGGTTTCAATTGAATAATACTTCTATTTAATTAACATACACTATTAGCCAAATCCGCAATTTATGGTATGCAAAGTCTTTTCCAAACAGTGTTGTTGTGACATTTTCATTATTAAAAGTTTTCAATTTGTTCCATGTTTTATTATTTTTTGGTATAAGTTGTTAAGGCTGTCTATGTGAATATATTTTTACTGATATTTTGTTGCATTCTTTGTGAGATTTAATAAATCATTTGCCATATGTATTCATATTTCTGAGTTGGGTTGGGATATCCTGAATAATCGCAGTCTGAAAGCTCTATTTTGCATTTGGTCAATCGAATGACATAATTTGCTGCTGCAATATATTAAACAAATAGCTGGCATTTGTGACAATTGTCGCATAAAGTTCTATATAGTTTTTATCGCTCGACAGCGCCATCCTATAAATTTGAATTTTAGGAAAGAAATTGACAGAATTAGATTTTATATGTTTTTCTTGTTATATTGAACTTTCATTGTTTTTTCGAGTACAATAACTGTTAGCAAATTTATCATAGAAAATAATCATAAATTCATAAAAAAACATTTCGTTTCAGAATTTTCTCTGTAATCACTAGAGAACCTTGTGAATTTTTGAAAATTTCCTGCAATGACTTCAAAAGAATTATCACAGTAAGTTTGTTATTAGCTCCAGTCCTCTAATCATCAGAATTTTGCAATTTCTGTCAATTTCACAGAAAATCACGGAAGAAGAACAGTCAAAGAAGATGTCATTGATTCAGTCCTGTTCTTCATATAAAAATTGGCCAAATCTTTCTATAAAAGCCCTTGCAAGATGTGTCGAATGGCAACACTACTCTGCGAATACAAGTCAGATTGAGTTTTGATTTCATTTTTTGCTCAATCTTTATCTTTTTATCTCGCATTATCAATTTTCAAGCAAGAGAATCTTCTATTGAATAGCTGAAAACCTACCTTAGCCATTTCCTATATAGTAGGAATCGGCGGTGTGATACGAATACGCTCACCACTGCACCTCTGATTACCCTGTGTGGGTTCGGATCCTGTGGGGGATAATTATCTAGAATAGGATTGCTGCTTTTTCGCAACGTAGGGCGGTTCACATAACCTCTGGTCGATTACGGCTTCCTCTACCAACAATTCCATGCATTTGAAACAAAATAACTGACTAAGTAATCCCATACCCAACATGGACTGGTAACTGGCGAGAAGGCATGAATGAGACTACTTATAGATTTTCTTCCAAACGGGGATTAATATGTAAATCCTATTCAATTCTTCAGTTATTCTGAATGAAGGTGAGGTTTGTCCATTCATCGGATTTATTAAATCTGGAAGATGTGAAATATTCAAGTCTGTTGAGGCAGTAAAGACGCTTCCGAACAATAGAAAGGTTTGTTCCTATTTACTTTGGAATATTTGCATAGTGTTACACTAATGAAAAGTTCATTTCATGCAGTTTAAAAAGGTCTCAATTAAGTGCAACCTAAATAGAATGCATTTTGTCGTATGAACCTCCACAGCAATATATTATTGTAACAGCTCACAGCTACATTTATTTGTCTGTGTAAAATGAGTTTAGTATAGCTGTGTTGGTTATCAGTTGAGGTTATGTCATTTCTATGAAATCCTGATCTATTTTTTTCTGAGCAATGAGTCTGAATGAGATACAGATGGAGAAAATGAAAGTTATTTTTCAGTGTTTAGGCTGAAAGTTCAGTTTGAAGATATTTTCGAAAGTCAGTCTTTAGTAAGATATATCCAGTTATGTTGAAAGTACCAAGATGATACTCTTTTACCATGTCATACTTGATTGAGAACAACCAGAGGTGATTATTTTATTTCTAATTCGTTATATGCAAGTTTTTTAATAATAGATATAGGCTATATTCAATTTGAAGGATTGAGGAGATAATCAATGTATAAGTAAAAGTTTATTTTGACTCCATAATCAGCATAACAATAAAATGATTGATAAAAACAAACAAATAAAAACTGATTAAGAAATCAGGAGAGCAAACAAAACCTTAGACAAGGTTTTAAAAAGTACAGAATATAAGATGGAAGGTTTTGCCAAGAAGACGTGGTACAGCGGGAATAGGACATATGGCGGATTCTTATAATTGTCAATTACCATGACATAGATTTTTGCTATGAAAGCAAGTTTTTACGGTACTCCCGTAGTAGGTGTGTCAGGTTAAGGTTAGGCCATCGTTTTCCTCAATATTTCCCCATTTTAGTTCTATTAGAAGTTCGGGGACTGTCTGTGTTAGCCAAGTGAATATACCCCCTGCCCATAGGTTTCAGTCCCTTTACACAACTTGATGTAAAATATGCGAACAAAATTAGTTACCTCCATATTGATACACATACTTCTGGAGCGCCGTTTTTACCATCTTCACTTAATACCTTTTATGTGATCAATTTAGATGAGGATAAGAAAACAAGTTTGCATGGGGGTTCTAACTACTGGTGATTCTGTTGGTGAAACAAGTATGTTGATGCAGGAATTGCTGACCTGTTCCGTTATTGCTAGGACAGATGTTGAAATAGGAATTATAAAGGAGGAGAGATTGAATGGTAAAATTATAAAAACCTCTTATTTTCTGTTTCTTAAATCACCCTGATAGAATAGATAGACGAATAGCTTTCTTGATATATAATATTAAAGGGGAAAATTCTGCTTTAACAAAACATCCGAGGTTACAATTTTGGTCTACCAGTCTGAATTAATTATGTCAGGGTTTCCTGAATCTCCCGTGCCGCGGACCCCTGTTTGTGAATCTTGGTTTTGACGGACCCCCATCCTATGTCGTATCAATTTCTGTTCCTAACCAACCAACGATGAAGGATGTTTCATTTACAACACAAGCTTTTCCCTGACTGGTCAATTTCATTTCTTGAAGCAATTTGTGACAAGCAAACTCTTAGGTCCGACTCTGCGGCAAGTCTCGACCTATATTCGTCATCATATTAGTAAGAGATGAAAATGATGTCTAACACATGTAGGTCGTTGCCAAAGGCAATAAAATTTTCGCGAACCCCAGTTTGGGAAACCCTGAATTGTGTACATTCTATTATTAAAGATAAGCACAATTGGTTGGATATTATGTAAATAATTACATCACTTCGCACCTCATCATTTAGCATTGTTTTTTTAATTAAACTCAATTTTCCCTTCTATGGTAATCAGTAACATTTGTGACTCAATAATTCAACTGAGGTGTTGACTTAATTTCCTCTGGAATTCAACTATTCCTTTATTTCTGTTAAGACATTGATGATACAACTCGCACACTACTCATCCAATCTTCTAAACCAACATTTTCTAATTTAACTGAGGTATGTATACTGGACTTCTTCGGTTTCATACTTAATTGATGCCAATGGGTTTTGATGTGTAAAAAGCACCATAAATCTATTGATTATAGATAATACTGTTTGACAATAGTCTTCTTTCTTGATTTATAACCGACCTTCAGATGCCGCATTCGGGTAGATGTTACCTAGGAAAAGCTGTTTCATAAAAAACTTGCTATATCAAAAAGATATTAGCAGTTGACTGCTATTATTACATGCTTTGAATAACATTGAAATTCACTCATTGAGTTATAATCATTTCGTTAAATAAAATAGGATGATATTCAACAAAATTTCATCGCACAAGAGATGAAGCTGGATTGGGAGAAATTGAAGCATAAAGTATTGTTGAAAACCATTAATTACTGCGGCATACGCCCAGGGTACGGAAAATGGTCTCATTGAGAATTCAATGTTTCATCACAACAGCCATCATTTATTTGGTTGAATTTATCGTGCTTATTGACTATTTATGTTTTCAGTACGCACATCTGCCTGAATAAATGTCTTTACCTAGAGATTTTATTACTTTTGCATTATCAGGAAATAAAATGTATTTAATTTCTTAGACATTGTTTTAGTGTGTGTTGATATTCGAGGCCCAGAGAGTTCCACTAATAAGAATTTCTTCTCTTTCAGTCGTTTATTTACTTCTTTTCCAGAGCCGTAGGATGGAATCCATTCAACTTCGACTCTCGTATAGTGTTGGCTGATTAACACATATTTCCGAATTCGGTCCCAAAAATCCAACAATAACAACATATTTTCGAAATATGGCCAAATTCCCCAATTCAGTGGTACGTGTTCACTCATAAATAAACAATCACGTGAAAAAGAAATTAGAATAAAAGATAAGAAATGTAAAAAAAATTAGAATTGTTTGCCACACCATTTTAATAATTTTATAAAAATTCCCAAACAAGAGTGAATAGTGTTTAAGAAAATGCTTAAAAAGGCATATAATGCCTCTTTGTTAGGTAAAGTTAATATGGTTATTCTGAGTGTTTGCTTAGCACATTAGATTTGAGTTCAATTCTCAAATAATTTTGATCGATGCTGTAGGTTAATAAAAACCATTGAATTTATTTTTCAATATAAGGACAAAAAAAAAATGATTTCGCCAAGCTGATTATAATAATTGAGAGTCAATTGCCCGACCAAAGTTGAGTGCATGAAGAGGTGGGCTAAGTCTTTTCATTCACCAAGGACATGCCAAAATATTGCCAAATTGTAGTCCAGATTACTTCAATCATTGAATACTACTGGTAACAGTATTTGGTTGGGCTGGGTTGATATGGGCTTGAAAACTCCAATCGAAAAATGAAATTGTGGCTAGTTCTCCTTTATCTGCTACATGCATGCGCACCTCAGCGCTCGCCGAGCAGCCCTAATTTTTGAACATTTAATTTGGATAGCTATGGAACATCGTTTTAGACAATTTTCATTAAAACTCGCAGAAGTTTAGCGAGCTGTTTCTACCCAGTTTTCAATATTTATTTCTTGATCCGAGAAAAGGGGCATTGGAAATGCAAATTTCTGGAGAGCCTATTGATAATTACCAGCGTGGATATATTTTCAATACATATTGTCGATTTTTCTAGCATATCACCCACAGTTTCATCATGAATTAAACTTTGTCAGTTTTAGTTATTCAATTCCGAGATCTTTAGAAATTTTCCTGCTTTTTTTGATAGTTAAATTTTCTGACCGCATATCATTCATCCGTGGTCATTGTCAATCACTGGAGAAACACAATCTGGTCTGAACCTAACATGCTATAGGAACTTCTATTTTAATATTTTCTTGCTCATGTATACATTAGGCGACCAAACATACGTAGATAACAACAATCTACATTTATGTGGATATATTTTCAATACATATTGTCGATTTTTCTAGCATATCACCCACAGTTTCATCATGAATTAAACTTTGTATGCCAAAATTCGACATTGTGAAATAACGCTCACTCGAAAATGAAAATATCTCCATTGCAACCGGTAAACTCTTTTAACACATCTATAATATCCGCCTATCATGAATTCGCGATCGCCTCTCTCTTATTTCATCTTATACCCGTTGCTCTTGTCTACAAGGTATCTCTTTGTCAGGTTCAGAGTTGGTTATGGCAAAGATATCATTCAAACTAAGCCGAAATGTTGTTGGGGTTGAGACGGCGATACATTTTTTCTAGCGGTGACCGTGCATTTGCACCCATGTACATTTGAACCCATACATTTGCACCGGTATATCCGCGGGTGCTAATATATATCCGTAAAAAAAAAATTTCCATAGATGCAATAGCATGAATTGTCGTGGGTTCAAATTACGGGTGCGGATTAATGGAACCTTCTTAGCAATTACCAAGATCGCCCTTTCGCTCGTTTTGTCAAAGCGGAAGGAGAGCCTCTAAAAACCTCCGATTCCAGATGGCCGATTTAATAAAGTTCAATAATGTCTTATTCTTTCAGTTTTATGATAAAATCAAATCGAAGAGTTTTTAAGAAGAGTTCTATCTGCAAACAAATACTTCTGGTTGAAATCAGTAGTTTTCCATCTTTTTGGTGAAGCGGTTACCCAATGAAACAATTCAGAGGCTCGAGGAACCCTTGCGCAATAATTTGATTATCTGAATTGTATAAAAAAGTTTAGATATACACAAAAGCAAGCCTAATATTGACAAAAATAATAATAGTGGCAAACCTAAATTATTTGATTATGTTTAGACACTATGCACATGCTACTCTCGGCGTCTGGCATCTACCCGCAATGAAATGGTAGAAATTTTAATATATATATATATATATTACTCCGGTACTGAACCAAAGTTTTTCCAATCCGCACTGTCGCGGATTTTTGTTTCGTACATTATGGTAAGCCTCCCCTAATTATTTTTTGACTAGACGTATCTTTCGGATTCTCCAGAATGTTTTAAAATGTGTTAAACAGTATTTTGAACTTTTGCAATAAGTTCAGGACGATAAGTCAATAGGACTGAGCAGCAGCTGGTTGTTTCTTCTCCGTAGACAATAGTGCACGAGCTGTTTTTCACTATGCAGATAACCGTTTCCCCCAATTGGATGCTAAATTCATAAATTCTATCTAATGATAATAAAGAAAAAAATGCCACCGGTTTGCCGTGCCGTATATATTTATATATTACCACAGTGTCCAAACGCAATATGTGATAATAACAGTATAATGCTTGAAAGAATAAACAAAAAATGGGAATTGTGAGAAGTTGAACATTTACAGTAAAATAAAACAATATCATAGTAAAAAAAGAAATAGAAGCACACCAATGTTTGTTTGTGTTATAATGGCGTCGCAACAAGAACATGTCAATAAAGGAACTCTGCATTGTTTCGGCCCCAAAAGAGTACCAAGAAAGCACTCGCTGACCAATAAATAGGGTTAAACATAATCTTTGGTGTCGTGATTGGCAAACGCGGCAGAAGTAAAAAAGTCTAAACATTTAGGAGCAAACAGATGCTCATGATTTCTTTTTGACTGATTCGGCCAAGCAGGCTTATATATGTAACCGACAAAATGAATCAAATACGCCGCTCGTGGGCTTTGATTTTCATGGAAGCTGAAAAGCTCGCGTTCGCCATTCTTGAGGTAGACTGTCTTTGGTATCAGAACGAATCGCGACGAGGAGGAAAAAACAAGAGGTAAAGGGAAAAAGTACGTGCGATGCAAATTGACACACGCACAAAACACACAAACGAATAATTTACGGACATCTAGGAGAATTTTCGAAGTTGATGATGCGACGTCACAAATTCACAAACGTAAAATACGAGTATGTATGATTCGTGCTAGCAAACGACGAAACTTCAACCTCCAATTTTAAGCAGTTAATATCATTTAATATATTAGGAAAAAATAAAAAGAATTGTAATGAATTTTATGTCCACTTATAAATATAGCATAATGGCAACAGCATAATGAAAAATTTTAATCATAGTAATAATATTAATTAATAATAAAATAATAACAATAAAAAAATATTAACAACATTTTTAGAAATCCACATGCAAGGGATATCTGTCTTTGGTATGAATATTTGGTGCAAATGTATGGTCGCTGGACCTGCATGCAACGTTTGCATTGGTCACTACTACAACCTCGATGACAAATACTGTGCGGAAATATACACATATCATACAACCGAAAAGTTTTTAAATGATGTAGGAAATGAAAGATTATGTTATGACATAACATTTTTTTTAAACTTTACCTCACTACTATTGCAAGTGAAAAGAGATTGTCGTGTTGTATATTCGGTACACTCCCATTTCTCTTACTTCAACATCAAAAATTAGAGATTAAATGAAATGACTGGCATATGCAACCACATATCCATCGTTTTTTTGTGTAAGAGTTTCGTCAATATATTGTGATTTACATCGCGTAGTTTCATATCTTGAACAATGAACTAATTTAACGACGTGCCATGCTTTGTGTCTGAAGTGATGAAATTCCCGATAGTCCTGCTTGGTTCATAAGCGCTGCGTGAGTCTGTTGGGGGTGCGGCCGATGCACCACTGGATGGCGCAAGTCACTCATATGTTGCTGAGAAAGTGCTTGCTGCGCTTGCTTCAGATATGCGTTGTTGCGTGCGGATGCCGATTCCTCGTCTTGCCATTTGTCGATGCTTCTTCTTCTAGCGTTCATAAAGAAATTACTCACAGTGGTTACCTCCAATCCTAGTTGTTGTGCAATTTGCACCTGAAATAAAAATCTTCAATTCAAATTCATTATACAAATATAAGTATTTTACTAACAGTTACCGTTTTACCTTCATGACAATAATATAATCATAAATGGTGTTTTGGCATTCTGTATTAGAATTTCTATGATTTTTTTTATTAATTTTGGAACAAAAATCTTAAAACAGACAAAAGTGTATTTTCATTTTCACTCCTGGGACGTCCATTCATCAGCCAGATTTGCAACTTCACTGTATGATAGAATCGCGCTTTCCAGTTTTTTTTTTTCAGATTATTTATACAGGAACAATACCGATGAAATTAGCTATCGGTCCGTACATGGTCATCTCACTGAACAATATAACTGAAAGTATTTATAGTCTTCAGAAGTGTGTGTACCAGTATGGAGGTAACCAATTTTGTTCGCCTACTTTACATCAGGTTGTGTAAAGGGACTGAAACCTATTCACTTGACTAACACAGACAGTTCCCGAACTCATTATAAAAGTAAATAGAGGAAAATTAGAACAAAATTATGACCTAACCCTAACTTGGTACGTACACTACGGGAATACTCGGGATTGTACTGTTGTTCGGAAACGATATTTCAAAATGGCCGATGACTTTTTCCGTATGTTGCACGCCGCTTGGAACATATTTATTACAAATCTTGGGTTTATTGAGTAACTTATCGCGTTTTCTTGGTATGATTTGATTTTAACTTTGTGTCCGCGATCGCGATATTCTTACCGTTAGTGTAAACCATATGTTAAAGTTACTTTTTGTGACCCTAATATACCCCTGTAGCGAGATATGTCGTGTCTGGATACGACGTAAATAGTGAATCAATACTTTTTGTATTTCTTGTCACATCGATTTAAATAATTGATTAGACGTATTATTTTTTTTTTGTACGTAACTCAAGGCGTTTTGATTTTAAGGATCCTATAAAAGCCTAAGATTGAAATTAACTCCGGCTGAATACACAGTTAACTACTGGAAAATTTAAGATACCGCAGTGTTCACGCACAAGAATCAACTTGCAATGCTTCGAAGCCTACTATAATGAAGTTGATAAATATCGGCATGTGACTTTTTATTCGACCCCAATCAACCAGCGTAGGGATCCGTATCAAGCTCTAAAAACTTTGAATGAGACGAGTAACATAAATGGCAGGGATGTTTTTCTCAAATCTCACATTTTCGCATTATAGTGGCGGGGGCTTTGTACAAAAAAAATCCGTAATAATTTCTTTCAGCACCAGGTTATCGCCATTTGACCCGCTTGTTACAATGTCGAATTCGAATGAATATAAGTGATGAAAATTAAACGCAACTGACGCCGCCTTTTCGGATTAAAAGGGCTGATCTCTTTATAATAATGACGTCATTAACTAATACTCTGTCGACATCTGTCATGAATTGTTTTTAGCGTTTTTATTCCTACCCGATAAGAAGGTTTAAACACATTCCTTTACACCAAAAGTATTAAAATTATCATTACTTCGTACATTAGTTCCGTCTGCATATGATTTCAGGCGAAAATTAACTTATTATTAATTAATAGTTATTATTAGCATGTTGAAACTGCACAGAATTCACTTGAACAACTCTTCATTCATTAAAATATTTCTGGTATAGAAGAAAAATCTAACAAGTAACATTTCCGATCGTAAATCTGAATTTTGCTGGTAATATGAAATGGGTAATGTTTGTGAATAATTGGTCGAAAGCTTGAGATATATATGCCAAGGTTTTTTTTTCAATTTTGTACATTACGTCATTCTTTCTTTCAATTTTGTGCTACGTTGTTGAATTTCCTTCTCATTTAGTTTTAATTTAATTACCTGGGTTTCTTTGGAAGGTCGCTTGTTTTGTTTGAATATCGCATGTAAAGTTCTTCGCTGAAGATCGGTAAAAACAAGTCTGGGTTTCTTCTGGCCGTTGGCTGTTTTTTCGTATTCTTTTTCGTCCTCTTTTCTTTTACAAGCTGAAATTAAATAAATCCTCATTAAATTTTAAGGTTTCGCGGAACAAATTATTTTGCGGTTGAAAAAGTGACGAAGACAAAACTCTCGCCGACATCTTACATTTCCTTTCTACTTGAATAAAGTGCTGGAGGTGGTTCTCTTAATTAGTTGCATTTGACAACGTATGTTAGGGCAAAGAAAAACTCCCTCTCCCCATTTTAACTTTGTTTCCAATCGGGTCCCTCGTGGCCAACTTCGGCCGGGCAGAAGCGAAGCCTTTTTGCCAAATTTTTAAACTGATTTACTTGACGGTACGTGTAATCGTCAAGCGCTTCTCTCCTACTCCCTCGGGTCCCCCTCGAAATTTATTACTTGACGCGGCGCTTGTACTTCCAGCAGGGAGCCCATTTAATGTTACTTTTCAAGCCAGAAACGCGCAACACCGAACCTGTCTCTAAGATTGAAAATGTGTAAATAAAAACATGAAAAACGAAAAATGGGACGGTAAAAATCGGTCGAAAATTTAAAGCGGAGTAACGAGAGACGCTTTCTAACTTCTCTGACGGAAAATTTAACAAGAAAAAGTCGGAATAAAGTCATCCTACCGAAGCCTCATTCCATAAAATGACACTCACGGGTCACACGATTGCCGACAAAAAATGAGTTCAAAATATAGAAAATATCCTGAAATTTTGTTAAGCTCATTCTGCAGTAGGTATCGGTTTAAACCATTTTTGCATGAATCAAGATTTAACATGCTATTAAATTTAAAAATTATCACGTAAAACGTTTGTTTTGAATTTTGTTTTCCTATAATAATACTTGCCACCGATTTGTTCAGCACTAGTATTCAAGATTTTTTGTATGAGTGGTCGATTGTATTTTAAATTTTTATTGTGTCTCCTTCGTGTAATTAGTTGAAATAAGTTCAAAGGGGGAAAATGAAATTAACCTTTTTACAACTTTTGGCAACAATTTCTAGTTTTTTTTGTATCGGAAATTAAAAATTAGCCGATGGGCCGAGGAATGTATATGTTATGAAATTGAATTAAGCCTTGCCAGACATGTACGTTAGACCAGGAAACGAAGTTTTAAAAGATCGCCTGCTTTGTGAGAATTAAAAGTCGACTGAAATTTTGACGCAGAAAATAGTGGGAAAACTACTTCTTACATGGTATTATTGGTAGGCACTCCGCTTAATAAGATTTTGCGGCGCAGTCTCAACGTTACTTGCTTGCAACATGGCCGGACTTATGTCATTTTTTTCTTATGGTGCAGAGGAATAACATACCTTTCAGGAATATGCAAAAGTAATTGGTATGCATCGAAAAGGCAGATTTAGTCGCCAATCGATAAAGGACGAAAAATCGATAACAATCGTGGTGGTAGGTGATTTTAAGCTTTTTTATACGATTGTGCGCCTGATCAGCCGGGAGATTTTTGTAATTTTACTTCAAGTCACATTAATTTCATTGGACATGATTGCCCATACTCTTCATTATACTCAGGTATACCTTCTACTGTGTGTAATTCTGTAATGTACAATGTAAGTAACAGGTCAAGTGAATCAAAGGTACTTTTACCCAAATATGTATTGGAAATGCCCAAACCATTCTTTTGTCTTTCGTGATTTACTTATCAAGACCATGTACAAGGACCACCAATAGCCGGTTCAGAAGTCTGTGTTTGTCAATGATTAAAGGCAACGCTGCCCAACAAGCATGTCGAATAGAATAGGAAACAAAAGATCACAGTGAATCTTTTTTATTCTCTTGTACTTCAAAGGCCCTTATCGTATTCTAATAAAAGATAAGCTAACCCAGGCTCGTAGCGACGTGTAGAACACTTGTATGATAAGTATGCGCGCGACATCAGGCGACCCAACAGCTGGTTGTCACGGAATTTAACAATAGAAAAACAAACCGAGCCCACTCAAACGGTTAAATAGGACAATAGGTACAAAATGGGAATACGCATCACAGGTTGCGATAACCCGGCTACATTTAGCTTGGTTATTGGTAAACCCATATTGTTGGAGCCTTAACGAAAATCAGCTAAAAATCAACGCGTAACAGACGTCTTTGCCACCGGCACACATGTGTGATGAAATTATTACCGTATGCCAGGCTCCTTGGACCTTGTGGAGTTGTAAAATGTCGCCATACAAGCCGGAAAACAAATAACTGAATTTTTAGTTAACACGGAGGGAAGCCCAGTTCATTTTTTCAATATTCGAAATCTGTCACAAAGAATCATCATATCACCAATCATTGGGAATTTCGACCATCGTCAAAAACGAAAAAAAAAATCTTGCTTTTTTCCACAAAACTAAATATTGCTGTTTATGGCTAAATGTTTTGCTGTATTTCAAACCGCAACAAATTTGCTAGGTATTGTACAATTCAATTTACAGAAGGCGACGTTTAAGAAATCTTCATATTGCGATGACCTTCTGGAAGCATTTTCATTGCGTCTGATTGTTATTTATAAACTATGTCATCGATAAATCTGTCTATTTTCCACTATTTTACAAAGATGACGAAAACTCTGTGAAATATTTGCTGGATTTATTTTTGTTTGTCATTATGATGATCAATGACATGTCTCGGCAGAGTCATATATATACGACAGTAATAAGAAGTACATAATATTTCTCATTAATAATGCCTCTCCACAATTTTTCGGTCTTTCGAGGGCGGTCGTAATAAAAACGACTCCCTCTGGAAATACGGGTAAACAGCAGCCGTGGTAATTACTTGCACAGAATTGGTAACGGCGTTTTTTGTTACAACCCGTTCGTTGCGAATACCTCTGATATGCATTACACCAACTGCCGCTCGCTTTCATTGCATGTTTTCCTCCAAAAAATCGATTTTTTTCGAGGGCGAAACGGGACATCGCGTTGTACCGAGTTTTAAATAAAAACTAAAAGAAAACGAGAACGCGTTTCTCTTGAAGACTTAGCTAAGAAACTCTTTGGTTTAAGCTGTGCATGTCAAACCCTGCGTTACTTCGCCTTTAATTTTTGAATGTTAGAAGACACACGATGACTTTTACCAAATAATCTTTAGGATCAAAAAAAATTATTTTCAGCAGTAATAAACCGTCCTTAGGATGAAAGAGAGGGAATAGACTTGCGTAAAATTATATATCATTGAAGCATATTCGGTCGCAACATTGGACTGGATTTCAATTGAATGTTATGTAAATTCGCGTACTTTATTTCACAACTTGAAATAAATTGGTTTATAATAAAGTAGTCAAGGGAGAAACGTAGTAGTCAACGAATAACTTCTTTAATCAGGAGAAAATTATGTTTCGATTTTTAAAATTCCCTTTTCACCATTCGCTTGAAAGATCCATCACAAAAAAATGGAATGGAATGGAAAAATGTCCACATGGAACTTCCATTAGAGTAAGAGGAATAAAAAATAATAATAAATTCATAAGTACCTTCCCTACCTGCTAAACGCAAGGCGGACATTCTTTGAAATTCAGGTTCTTGCAGCCATTTCCACATTCTTCGAAACGTTTCACGCCCACTCTTCAGTTTTGACCAAGGTTTGGGATTTCGCAGAAGGTCCGAAAGGGTTCCTTGACTTCGACATAAAACACGCTGTGCAAATATTGCTTGTGGAATGCTGTAACGCTTTAATTCTTGTGTAATTTTGGCTGCGACATCTTTGGTGTTTACTTCTTCAGAAGGTTGCTGATGTTGGTTGTTGCCACCATTAAGATTGACGGGTGTTACTCTTTCAGCTCCCACGGGTGCTTTATTTTCGCGCGAGTGTGACATTCCAGAAGATCGACTTGAATGAAAATTATGCCCAAATCCGTTGGGTCTTGCCGAAAACACTGAAGTGGGGAGTGGCGCACTCGGAAATGCTTCCAATGTGTCTAGCATGTGAGTTTCATATGGATTGGGTGGATGATGGAAATTTGTCGGTGATCTTGCGTATTGTGGAATTCCCATTGCTGCGTTTTCTGTGTCTGCCGCAGACCCCACAACTGGTGGTTGCAAGCTGTGTTGTACATTTAGTCCATTGAGTAGCATATGATTTGACAACGGTGGTAGACTCTGTCCCATGCCCGTCATCTTTTGATAGTTACCGCTAAGATCCCCGAGGCCTGACATATCTTGTGATACAAACGCATTTGACGGCACCGAACCATACTTGTCAGCTGGGTTTGGAATTTGAGTTAGCGGCTGAAGAGGTGTTAGAGTTGCGTAACTCAGGCTAGGACCGTCGCCGGACACATTGGGATGCATACCAAACGCGGGCTTGTGTAAAGATACGGACGGTGCTCCGTCGTTTGTGTATATTCCTTCTGGTACCGAAGGATTGACGTTCCCAAAAGCTGATCTTGTTAAAGAAGTGTTAAAAGAGTTCGAGTGAGTTTGTGATCGGTGGTAAATTGATTCTGCATTTCTATGAACTTCATTGAACATGGTTGAATGTTGAGTAAAATCTGGAGACGGACCTGTCATAGATTGGATGGTTGAAGGCTGTTCCATCATGTTACCAATCGAATCTCCCGTACCTGTTGAAATTGCATTTAGATCGCCAGTAGAGGAATTCTTTTTCAGGCCCGTTTCTTCTTCCGAATGTTGTTGGAGAGAGCCGGGGCTATTGGCACGGTTGTGAAAAGTTGAATCGCTCTTTTTTCTTTCCGCAGACGTCGAATTTACGGTAGATACGGGAGTTGTAACTTCACAACCACTGCCTTCGTCGCTTCCGGAGAAATTGAGAAGAGATGACTCTTCCCGTGGGCGTTCTGTAATCGGAGCGTATTGCGAAAATGAAGATATTGGTGTCGTAGAATAGTGATACAGGGGATTCTGGTGATGATGTTGATAGTACGGCAGAATGTAATCGTCACCGCATTCCAATTCGTTGGGTCCGTAAGCTCCTGCTGCCGCCACTGCGTTTGCTAGAACCGCTGAAGACACAGCACGAAGTCCGATTGATACAGGCATTGGAACAGAAATTGCACTCAATCGACTTATTTGTCTAATAGCACTTCGTTCGCAAAATCTAATAAGCTATAGGATCTAAAATTTTAAGAATATTTCTGCATTAAAAAAGCATGAAAGATAAGCCTTGAATTCTATACAGCAATAAAATACTAGGTTAAAATCAAATTGATATGACTATTTTTAGTCTCCAAACAGTTTAGCAAAAACATCGGTCCATGTCATGTCTATTTAATTCTATAGATTGTTCATTTTAATTATTTTCCCAATTCAAATTCTTTTCAAATTAGACATGCACTTTGATAATGGGCATCAAAGGCGTTTTGGAAGCAGGATTTTATTTTTAGGATGCAATGTTGCGGTAGCTATTTCGACGAATCTCATGCGTCCTTATGAAATATATCAGAAAAATGTGGAATAACGTTATATAAATATATCTTTATCGCCACTGTAGCTAATACTATTCTTCAGGAATTGAACTATCACTCACCACTCGCCTGTGAATCTTGTATACAGACTACAACTTTACTTCATTACTTTTATAATATTCAAACTTATCACAAGCAAATAAATGTAAGACTGGCGAAATTGCGCTCAATGGCCTAATGTATAATAGGCATCTGCTAACATTAGTTTAGTGCAAAACTGTGTTGAAACTAAGAATAATAGAAATGACCCAAGGTAAAAATCTTCGATGAGGTAGAAACGCACAAGTGTCGAGCGACTGAGACCAAGACACCATTTTCTTTTGTGACGCAACCATTGCGCGACGTGAGCGCGCATAAACCATCTGCCGATACCTGCGCTGGAGAATATCCTTGTTTTTAACGATCTTTCTATAGCCTTTCTAAAAATAATTATATTAGCCATATATTGTGTAAAGAAAAATTTATTCAACACAGAGACATTTAATTCTATACAAAAAGCTCCCTATATCAACTGCATTACTGATCAGAAATGCCTCAACCTAAGCGCAAAATAAAGTATTTAAACGAAACATTCACTCAAGGATCTTATTTTTTATTAAGAAAAATATTGAATAAATGTACTTCATACGTATGAGCAAAATAATTTTTTGAAGAGAATTTAATTGAAGAAAATACTGCGCTAAGTTTGATGACCAATAACCATCAAACATTTGATCATAATATTCGAGAAAATGAAAATACTCGATACTCCACATTCTCAACGTTCAGTACGTTTTTTAATTTTTTCTGCAGACCTGACTTTTATGATAAAGTTCTAATTACGAATACTAAAAATTACATCCGCTTTAGGCGCGTGACTGGTGCTGCTGCCTGACCCCCATATTGTGTCGATAAGAACACGAGTACCTAAAGTGGGAATCTTTTGTTTTTTATTTCTCTTTTTCTGTTAAGTGCTGATAGGTTTGCGCTGGTGGTAGCGAAACACCGATTTTGACGACTGTTTCTATATTATGAATTGAAACTCTCAAAGGCTCTCGTAATATCGATGTGCGTGAGAAATATTTTTCCATCTGCCATTACGTTATCTAACCTGTGTTGTTATACTATTGACCCAACAATTCCATCGATGTGCGTAAAATACTCTGCCTTCGACTCTGATTGTAGCCAACGTCGTTTTGTGGCCTTTTTCATTCTCGCCCTGGCATTAATTATTTTCGTGCATAATGTGTTTCATTTTTTCTTTTATCTCCGATCGGAAGAGAAATGGATTCCGTCTGTTTCTTTTTTGTAAAGAGAGTGGGGGAAAGTTTCCGATCGCTCACCTAAACGCCGTACAAAATAGAAAATAGCGTTGATCAAACATGTCCCAATCCTATAAAATGATCAGAGCATCTATCTATCATGCATATTCGTGATTGGCCGTGTATAAATCCGTAACCAACCGATACAACGGATGGATAGAAAGATTTGCATTAATTACGCTACTGCACTTGCTTTATTTCTCTCGCCGTTACCCAAATCTCCATGTGTTCGAATGCAATCGTCGTCTGCCGGAGCGAAATCATATTCACAAACGATACAACTAATAAGCCCCATAACTATGGAAAACAGATGTGCATTGAGAACGCGTCCATTTTTTTCGAAGGATGCATCGCCTAATAAGACAATAAATCTGCGATTAAGCGGGATTTATGACTTTGACGCTTTATGGAACGAATTCGGTTACGTCTTCCGCATTTGTAAAAATTGCTTAATTGGGTCCAATACACAAAGACTAATAATAAAGCGACTGTCATATGCACGTGCGTAAGGGCTTATTGAATATTCAACAAACTTACATATTTATCCAAATAAAATGCCGTACAGGTACTTTAAAAAGCTCGATCTTTGAAGGTTAATAAAACAACAACTAAATCTCTAATACACGAATAATACTTTGGAAACTATATACAAATCAGAATTAAAGAAAATGATTACTTTGACAACTAAAATGGTTACTTTTCATTGGTTTCAAAATTGGAATAAATATAATTGTAGTAATATAACATGGATGGAAAATTCGATAATTATATAGAGGTACAAACCGTTTTTTATTTTTAAGCTTGAATACGGGTTTTCCGAAACAATCTGCAAGTGACCCGTTTTATATAAACATCGGTAAAATGTCAAGTTGCATGCAGGGGAATTGTTAAAGCAGTTTACTCATCTTGTAAAATTACAATTTTACATAAGACAATATAAAGATATGATACATATCACAATGCAACCGCGGTCTACCATTTTATTCTCTTCTTAAATCAAATCTTAAATTTCTTATGTAAATTGAGTTCTTCTTTTGTACTTTTTGTGCACAAGCTTACATGCCTGACATTTTAGACGAAATTCACAATGAGTCTTATATATTTGGAGAGTTTATGACATATTTCATAGCTTCATTTTCATCATTTCACCGAAAATGTTTCTTCATTATCAAATCAAACAATGATGACAAACGTAAAGCGTCTGTATTACAATTGACAATTTCGGTCAGAGACGAAATACTGTTTATGAAATGAGAAGTCGTCTATAATCCATCCACATTTATAAGATGCATTCGATAAATCGTTATATCGATCAGTGATGATATAGTGCAGTGTATATATACAAGCTATACATATAAAATACAGCGAATCTGGAACAATTCCCAGCGTATTCATCGCCTGAGTATGACTGGTTGAAGTGAAAGTCCACAAACGTGCCAACATAAAAAAAATCCAAGAATAGCTCATCAAGTTTTATTAGATTTTTTTCCGTGTTTTAATTCAAATCTCAATAAAAAATACAGAAGGACTATTATGTATACATTTGGTCTTTCGTGTCAGTCATAAAATTGTGCAACTGGGATGGATATTTGATTTCTCTTGCCGTTGGCACTCCAATGGCAATGTTGAACTCAGATATTACGCGTTCATTCATCGTTCAACTATTGAAATGTTTCTACTTATATATATATATTTATATATTACCACTTCAATTCAGAAATTTGTCCTCCGTTTGAGCAAAATACGTGGATTTGAGTTGTTTTCCAATATACTTTAACGCAAATCATTATCTTAGCTAAAACCCCTAAGTTGAAAAGAATTGCGTATTGTTATTATTTAAATTGCTTCAAATTGTCCCTTTTCGTTTAATTATCTCGTATGATGTGTTCGTGATGGAATATGTGTTGGTGAAACGAACGACGGTCATAAACAAGATAAGCAGATACTCTAACTCATTTCAGAGTGTTCACACAACACTCCAGTGTGCTTTTACGTAAAATTCACATCTGCCATACATAGGCAAGCGACATATGGTACGTTCAGCGGCGATAGCTTCCTAATCGCTAATGTCACTCGAAGCAGAGTCGAGTGGAATGCATTTAAATCTGTAAATATTACAATTTTATTCGTAACTAGACCCGTTTTTAACGCGGTGCAAGTTATATTTTTGTTCTAACAAACTTTTCATGTGATATCGTTTGATAATAATGGAAAGTAATTGACAATATTTGAAAATTTGAAAAAATGATTAGTTTGTACATTTTTGTTGACAGAAACCGATTTCACATAAAGGTGTACGTTTAGGATACTTATTACATGTGTCTAAGATATACGTAACAAGAGGTGATTTTGCATTGATTTTTCAAAAATACACAGTGGTATTTTATCTCGGCTGTGTTTCCCTCTAAGAAGAGAAAATCGCGCTTCGTTTGTGGCAACATTATAACAGTGTCGCTGCAATCCGAGTGAACTGGGATCCGCTCTTAGAAAAATTCAAATCTCCAGGGTAATTAATCGCCTTTGCACCATATGTGACAAAAATCAGAGATGGTGAATATTATTTTCGCAAGTAATTTTGGGTAAGCTGTTCGTTGCCCGAGAATTTTCAAATGGCACAGCATAAAATCGAACAAATATTACTTTTTTGTTTTGGTTATATTCTGCTATATATTGTAAACGATAAGCTGCATATGTCTATTTCATCCGTGATGTTATTAATATATTTCGGTTTGATAAAAAGGTAGTTTCCTCAGTTACTGAATATTTATGCATTCCGGTTTATCGTTTGCTTATACTTGGCAATATATATAGTATAAAATTCGTGAATAAGTATTCAAAGTCGAATAAATTCTAGTTTTCGTATTATTTACATTCCGAATTTTATTCTGATTAAATATTTGCAAAACATAAGCTAGGTTTCAGAATGCAGATTTCTAATACACTTTTGATAACTTATAGTATATTATTTTTGATGAATCAGTTCTGCTTTAAATGCTAACTACAACAACGTATGGCTCGTAACCATAAAGGGTAATCATGAACACACTTGTGTAATGAAGCACATGTGTATCGAATCATTTAATTTCGCTTTCGCCAGTTTGTCCGTACTTGAATCGCATGACCAAATGTGGCCTGATATTTCACGTTACAAATCTAATATAATAACTTTATTTACCTTCGCTGACGTAGTTACACAAGCGAACACCTATGTCAAACGTCATGCGCGGGAAGACCCGTAATACAATTGTAATACAAACAAATGAAAGCTTTTTACGTGTGTTATATTGGATTTAAATGCTACCTTTTCATTGTTGGAATAATCGCTCATTTCTATGTACCCAACGCAATCACAA